CACAAGTCGATCTCCAGTGCAATCAAATGCTGACGGACCTCCTGTAGGTATGGCAACCTCAACATTTGGGAATTTTGTGGTTGTTCCCAATGAAAGTGGTTCCCTTGACTACGTTGATATCTCAGGAGTACAATTCCCAAAGCAATTTGATCAAGGTGTTGTAACCGGCTTTGTTGAAGAGCATCCCATGATTGGATCGACCTACTTCCATTAAGATTTGACCAACCACTCCATGGACCGCATTTTGGGCTAAACCATACATGCTTTGGGCGGTGCTTGATCAACACCTCAAATAACCGGTTGCGACCCTCTTCTGTTTGAAGATCCCCTTCAGCAAGGCCAAATCTGACGGCTCGATATCCCAGCTGCTGGCACTGATGGGTCAGTTGGCTTTGTGGTCCACAAAACACTTCTAAAACATCGATTCTGGAACCGGAACATTCAACCCTTCTTTGACAAGTTTCAAGTTCATGGGAAATGAGATCAACAAACTTTTGAAACTGTTTTCTTTCCACATTTGTTTCATGTGTCAACTTTTCCTGGGATGTTCCTGACTCATCGATGTCTCCGGCATGGAGACCGTAGGCCCAGCATGGACAGGCATCTACTGAGATTCCACATTGTGCTCCAGGTGAGCAAGGATGCGGCTCAGAACAGCTTCCATCTGATCCACACGGTTCTCGAGGGGCTGCATGTTCTCCGTGAGAGCCACACTCTGGGCGTCCATCTCGGCTTCCGGCAGAAACTCGAAGTGATCTTCTTCCTCCTCCATCTCGGGAATTGGAATCTCCGCAGGCATTTGTGGCTTGCGGCAGGCCGCCTTGGCCATCATCTTGGGCTTCCGGTGGCTCATCTTCGGTCCGGCATGCTGTGGAATCCCTTCCCCTGTGAGTTCCGCTCGCTCGATCTTCAACTGAATGAAGTGGATCACTTTCTGGTGACTCTCCTTGCCTGACTTCTCGTAATGGCTCACGAACCATCCGATCCAGTCCTGGTGACGATTCCACATCTCCAGATAGGTTTTGCCCCGATGGGCTTGTCCGAAGTCGATGGTCGACTCTTCGAGATTCTTCATGCTGAGGTGGTCGAAGTTGTACTTCTCGGGAGCACTGGGAATCTGGAGAGCTTTCAAGCGATCGCTGAGGCTCATGGCGATCACGCTTGGGAACTTCGAAACTCTGGGCAAAACGGGTGTGCTTTGAGCTTTTGGGATCTGCCGGATGCATCGCTTCTGTACATCTCTTTTCACTTTCGATCCTTTGGTCAAGGCTTTGATCATGGGCTTGGCATGAATTTGACCGGGTTATGTTAAATGGTGTGAACTGGTCGGCATCATTTGAAGTTATTTGTGTTAAGTTATCACGTGGAAACCTGTTGCGTGAACTTTGGGATGGCATTGTCATGTTGTTGGCACACTGATCATGGATGGTCGTCTCCGCATCGGTCGATGCAACAGCGGCAGCAGGCTCTGTACACTCTTTTGGCATGGTTGATACCTGATGTGTCTCGGCTACCTGTGTGGACCCGGTCGCGTCCATCAGGTCATTGAGGTCCAAAAGAAACAAACCCTTCTCGGTGAGCTGAATGGGTATGGTCTTGGAAATCTTGGTAGCATGAATGACGTGACGGCTAGTATCAATCACTGCCCCAATCGCTCTCAAAAGGGTGTTCGACAAAAGGAAAGGAGTAGATCCGGGTACTACGGCCACCTTAAGCAACAGACCATGAATTGGAATCACTAGGGCTTGTTCACTTTGTAAAACCCCTTGGTTACCAAACCGGAAAGTCAACTTACATGGACATCGGCGTACAGTTTGACGTGCTTCAGGACTTAAACCCTTGAGTAACCCTGGCACAAGCTGACTTCCTATGACTGTTTTAGTGGCACCCAAATCGACTACTCCCAGGCTGCTGTGTGTTGCAAACAAGGTCAAATGATCCTCACTCTCAGTGTCACCAAGGCTTCGATCTCTGGGCTCTTGGACGGACATGCGATTCGATCTCAGCTCATTCCTGATGCCGTGAAAACGGTTGACTCGCATGCATGATTGTTTCCATGAAGACAGTGATCTTTTCAGCCTATCTTTGGAGGATTCATGATATGTTTCAACATGCGAACACGTAAAACACATGCTATCATGAAATTGAGGCTCATCCATCGTGCTCTCCAATGACGGCACTTGCAGGAACTCTAACGGCAGACTGTCTTGACCACCTTGAACCTGGACAAAGGACGTTGGAGCTTGAGGTCGGCTGGCACCGGATGCATCGGATCGGTTGGGGCATTCGGCACGCCAGTGGCCGATCTTTCCGCAAAGCCTACATGCTGAGGTCAAAATCCTCTGCTGCAAAGACTTTCTGTTGGACTGGTGTCCCTTCTGGAACTTTCCCTTGACTCCTTTGTGGGAACCCTTATATTTCCCTTTTGACAACGGCCAGAAACCCCGGGACTTCACTTTGTCGCTGAGACGTTTTCGAGCCTCGGTATAGGCATTGAATGCCGAGGCAAGATCCTCATCCTGTTGGATGACATCGGCAGCAGCATTTTCGAAGTCCGCAATGAGGATGGCGTCCTCGTCACCTTCTTGGAAAAGGGCCTCAACAAAATCATCTTCACACATTTCTTCACTTGTCTCTGCATGCAGGGTGTTCGACATGTCCTCCTGGTCAGGACTGTCGGACATGATCATGGCAGCATCATACGTTTTCAGTCGGCTAGGCTTCTTTCCTGATGTTACCTCTTGGAAAAATCCAGCACCAAGCATACGGATTGCGGCTGACACACGTTTCATGGTGAGCCTCCCATCTTCACTGGCTTCACTGTCGATCACAACTCGTTTCTTGTCTTCACCACTGAGGCCTGATCCACGCAAAGTAATGTAAGCTTGCAAATCTTCCAGCTTGATCTCCTTGGTCATGAGTTCTTGCCAGGCCACATCGGCTCTGGCCAGGTAGCTATCATTGGTTTCGTCACTCTTTTGTGACAGGCGATACAAGGCTTTTTCTGCAGCTTCATATTTGCGCTCTAATGGAATCTGACCCCACTGGCCTCCGAGGAGTTCGATCAGGCGTTGAATCGATTTCTTGTCATTGTTGGTCAGTTCGGTACTGTGCAATTGCAGCTTCTGAAATGCAGTTCCTGTACATCCCAAAATGAGACGGGTGGCAAGTTCGGTCCACTTACCCTCAGGCCACATGTTCATCAGCAGTTGAACTTTCTTGGTGTAGTCTACGATCTCATCCTTCGATGGGTCAAAGGTTGGGACAAGATTGGCCAGCTGGTTCGGAACTAGGTTGGACGTTCCAGCCCCATCTGAGCCATCACTTGTCTCAGGCATGCCCTCCTCCCTGGATCCTCAGCGTGAGCTCGCTGAGCTCCGCTACCAGTGTGATTGGCAACACTGGCAACGGATGTCCTCCTCCCAGTCCACCACGGCGCTCTCAGATTGTTTTTCCCTTCCAGGCCACAAGTCTGATCACGGTGCAAGTCGGGGATCGACCCCGAGGCAACAAGAGTTATCCAAACTCAAGGCAACGGCTGGATGCAAAGTGCTCCTATGGATTTTTGGGGACCCCTGGTCCAAAGCAGTAAGTGCGGCCTCGCACAAAGCCTATGGCTAAAACACACGGAAGCAAATGACCCTCCCTCACCTTACCCTATGGGCACTCCTGAGCCATGCATGTGCTATGGATGTGAACTCTGGTTGTTGACCCTTTGATTGGATTGTAAGACAAGAAGTGCAATGATGTTGAACATTCACAACATATATATATATATATATTATATATATATATATATACGCCTTGTTCAATCACACTGATGGTACCGGGTACCAGTGTTTATCAGTGTTTACATCCAGCAAAGAAGCAAAGCTGATGGGGGAAACAGCTGAGCACACTGTCAAACAACATACTCCTTGAATGTCAACTCAAAGTTTTAATAAGTACCAGTGTCAACGATTGCAAAACTAAAACTACTTTGCAACCTGGTATTCAAGTCTCTTCAAGTGGGCACAGTCTGATTGTGCCCCACGAGCTGACTCCTGACTCACTGCATCTATCAAATGACTGGGTCTTTGATATCACAGTGCGTGTGCCAGCGTGAAATAGCTAAAATCATCAAGAAACTGCTTGTCCCAAGTGCTGAATCCTCAAGCTCCAGCATCTCTCCCCATGAATGCCCCGGCCTGTTGCATGCGAACAGTGCCTTGAAAGCATGCATAGTTTCACTGGGGAACCGCTTCGAGTGCAGGCTCAGACTTTTCAACCTCAAGGTGCCGACATCAGCCGACATCAGCAACGTCTTTGGCAACAAATTTCTTCCAGGGACCCCTCTAGATCTATAATGATCTATATCATTTATTATCATTCTATGTCTAAGGACATTTCGATCAATCTTACAACTGAAGCCATGCCGAAAAAGGCGCAAAAAGCCGCAAAAAATTTGCCAGTCATCCTATCGTCACAGGCTACCAACATCATCATCATCAAGATGGAAGGCGAGACTAGACGGCCTTGTTCGTAGTCTTCGCAAACTTGAACTTGTCCTTAATAGACCTGGGTCCATGGGAAAAGTATGGGAAAAGTCGATTGCCAAAATCACTGAGTCCACGGATTTCAAAAGTCATCAATTCAGCAGTCCACTGGGAACCACTTCAAGTCGTGGCACAGGGTCCCAGGATGGTGAGATTTTCTGCTGGCATCCCTGCTATGGATTGCTATGGCATATCCGAGATGGTTTCAAGTCCTTGGTCCTTGCCATAGTTGAGCAATCATATCAATCATTGCTTTGGCATGGTGTCCACTCTTGACAAACCCATTCTGCTATGAATCCGTTCCAAAATCATTGAACATATTATAACATGTTATAACATGTTTTAACATATTTAACATGTTTTTGATCAGTGACTTTAAGCCCTACTCCAAAATCAGCATCACAATGATACAGTCAGCCTCGGTCAACCATCATTCTGGAAGGTAGCCGCTGAAAGGAACTTGGTTCACTCCTGAGCTCTCAGTAGTCTGAAAAATTCTGCCAGGGACCCCCACTTGCCATACAGTGGCGCAGAGCTCAAAAGTGATGGCAACGGTGTGGAACCCAGCAACGTTGGAAGCGGATGAATTGCGTCAGTTTCTGCCTGCACCTCAGAGTCGGAGTCAGTTCCGAACAATGCCAATCTGAAGGGCCTCAATGGGCCTCAATTGTCAGATGGAAGCAGCCCCAGCATGTATGATTACGCAACTTTCAGCAAACAATCAGCAAACACCATAACAATATTTCTGCTGCGTCCACCAGTTTTCTCCAACTGTTGACTCCCTGTCTGGGTGCTTTGACTCCCGCGACCAGAGCCCCCCAATGGGCCTGTTGCTCATCGTCAACCGTGCTGTTGTCGCCATCGGAAAGACAGGTCGCCTGTAGAATCGGAGATTCTCCAAGGAGTGTTGTGGGACATCACATCATGAAATTATCATTTTGAGCAAATTTCTGAACACCGACCAACTTCTGGATGCCATCATGAGTCATGATCAGAAATTCTGGAGTGCCAAGATCCCTTCATATCCCTTGAGCTCAGACAAAGTCAGGCCTCTTTTTCCTCCGGTAGATCTTGCAAGTCAACATCCGAAGAGGAGGGGCTGACCAGAGCCTCGGCAAATGTTTTTCACTGCAAAACATGTTTAGGTCAACCTGGTAAGCGCCACTGCTTGTGATTGTCTTGCAATCATTGATATGCGGAAAGTATGTCAAAAAATGAAACGCTATATTCTGTAAATTACATAAACAATGTGTATATATATATATAATTATATAATATATATATACATGTATTAACGTTCATCATGAATTATCCACTTTGTACAGCAATAAAGTTCTTTTGAACTAAGCATCAAATAAAAAAACGCAATCGAGTCGGTGTCAGATAGCTCGAAAGTGATGCATATCGGGATGGGTCAAATACCAGGCGGTGAAGATCAGGATTCCCTGGCGACTACCTGCTTTCCAAATATATTCATATGATAGATCCAAATATCAGTAATTCCAAATATATTCATTTAACTAACCAGTGTTTTCAGTGTTTTCCTATACCCAAATTATAGACTTGAAAATTAAATCCCCAAAATGACCAACAAAAATTGCGGGTCCAGCAGGGCACCCAAAAAAAAATATTTCATGTTTTTCGCACAGCAAAATGTTCTAATGAACATATGGAACCCCTAACTAAATCCGCTGATTCATTTTGTGTATTTAAATGGGGACCCTGCTTTCAACCGTGTTGGTTATACATCGCATTGACATCCTATTAAATCCATTTTTTTACGGATGAACCACCACTCAACCCACCCATCACTATTATCTTTGGTTATAAATCTCAACTTATTCTGGCTGAATTATAATTCGCTAACCAAAAAGTAGCTGTTATCATGCGGCCATGGATGATTCCCCTATATATCCTGCCTGACCATCATTCCGGAATTCCGTCACGACGTGAGGTCGTGATCAAATTGATTCAAATAAGTGATATCAACTGATATCATATATCATGCTGTATCATATTGTTGGTGAGCTTTCCGAAATTCCCCATGAAATATCCCCGTTGTGGTTTATTATAATGAATCCAGATATTATTCGTTATAGCTATAACATGCTATAACCACATTATTCATCATTGATATTGTAGCCTTGTAACATATTCCCATCAAATCTCCAGTGAAATCGGCGGAAATCGAGCTGCGGGTGAAGTAGTCGGGAACGGAGGTGCTGGCAGTCCTGACATCCTCAACGGCCAGGACTAAAAGAACGCTGGGAATATTTGAGGATAGCTATTGAAAATCAATCCATCCAAGATTCAGTTATCATCATTTATCATCCACATTTATATTATATCCAATGAAAATGAATCATAATTATCATCCACAAGCCAATATATGTACCCTCTGGTAATGACTAACAGTTTGCTATTGAAAATGGCCATTGAAATTTAGTGAGTTTTCCCATTAAAAATGGTGGATCTTTCCATAGCTATTTGTATGTTTACCAGAGGGTAAAACAGCAAAACCAACAGAGGGTTTTTTAATTCTATGTTACTTCTGTTGTATTCAACCATCTAATTATTTATAAATTCATGACCAACAGAAATTTATGTTTTTCCGCGGTTTTGTGCTGATTTGATTTATCCTGTCTGATCGGGATAATATGAATATGTAAGCTGATATGACCAACAGAAAACGACAAACAAATAACTATAGCATATAAATAGTTGGGACAATGACAGTAAACCCAATCATCGATGGGGAAAATATTGCACGATCCGCTTTGACCAACAGACAATTGCCATATAACTTCTCGAAAATGGGATAGAACCAATCGACCAACCGCAATTTTATCTAACTTTGGTGGTGCAGTCCATCATGAATTGGAGCTTGATGATTGGTTCACATTAAATGGCTGGTTCACATGCTGCAACACTGGTTCACATACTGCTGGACGCTGGATGTATTGGATGCAAGCCCGACGAACGAGATTGGAGTACTCAGAGCTTTGCACCAAAGTCAACTTTCGTTCGAAGATCATGAATCGATCAGCATTTTGTGATCTCTAAACTTGAAATCTGGTCCATGATTCTGGATAAATTATATAATATGATATATCATGCACTAATCTGAAATATAGATTAAGCATCCTTCCAATGACGTCGCGACGTGAGGTCCCTATGATTTATCCAGATAGTTGATATCAAGTGATATCAGTCATATATATATATATATTATGTAATATTATGTGTATATATATATATATTCAGATATGTATGTATAATATATATATGTATATATATATATATATTCATATATCATACATGGCCAGTGACCTATTGCGGGTGTCTGGGGCCCCAGACGAACTACTATCTGGCTCAGTGACCTGGCTCGACAGTCCCAGGTGGCTTTGCAAAACCACCAGGATATGTGTGATTTTCTATGGATATTGTAGATATGATTCTTTATCGCTAGTGTATATAATATGGATATTGTATCTATAGATATATTATATATATACGTATATATTCACAATGTAAAAGTAAATTGAACATAATAGTCATGTGTATATATAATGTATACATATAATTTATGATATGATATGCATAGTGTACATTCAGCAAATATCAAGAGAAATCACAGACAACAAGCACATGACATATGAGCTGGAGTGACTTGAAGTGCAGGATGTAACGTAACCGAACCCAGTGCATGTCCACTTTGAAACGACCAACCGCGGCTCATTGGAATACGGACATCGGAGCGTGCGAGCGGCCCGCCCCACCTTCATGGGCTGACGGCTCAGCCCAGGAGGCCTCGGTAATTTAAGGAACCAGTCATGCAGCTGCTGCAGCATGAGAGGAATTTGTTTCCCAGTTTTGCTGGCAAAACTCCGAAAATCCTGGAATTGCTGGCTGGAATTCTTCAGATAAAAAGGCCTCAAATATCAGGGGGATTGCTAGCCATCTCTTTTTTCTGCTTCCCATTCTTTGCCCAACTAGGCTCTCGCACGGGGCAAAGTGAATGCCAGGGGGTTTGCTGAAATTAGTCTCAAGACCAGGAGGAGCACCTGAGAGATTTCAGCCCCAGCTCCCACCCTTGGTTGCTAAATATGCTTCATTTAAAGGGGATCAAACAACAGAAAGATTTGAATCTGGGCAAATGATCTACTATCATTCCCAAATCAGAAATAAGATGAAATAAGATGAAATGAGATGAAATAAGATGAAATAAGCGTAAATACGGTACGGTTAAATAAGCCAATGTGAGGGGGTCTTAAAATAGTTAAAATGGGACGACCCAAAAAGGACAAAAAGTCGCCATACTGGGACTCCAAACCAAGCTTTGATCCACCGAAGCGAGGCACCTGGCTGAACCCGTGGACAACCGGACTGTGGATATTCGGATCTGCCAGAAAAAGATGCAAAAAGCAGAACCGGACGCCTTGGTGATTGAGGAAAAATGAGGAAAACATGGAAGCAAAGACTGGCTTCGCAGTTGCAACACTTGGCTTTTCAAACTGAGTACGTGGTATGCAATACTTGTCATCAAAGAGAAGGGTTGAACAAAACAAGTTAGACAGTGTAGGCCCTGTATTGCCCTGTTGCATGCAGAAAGCAAGAACAAGACATTCGCACAGTCGCACAGTGGGGCCCTATCCTGCCCAAATCCCGTGTGAAATCACAGCCGGATCCACCGAAATTGTAACTTCTCCTTGATTGGGACCTGCGGGAACTTTGATCTCCTGTGCGAGGTTGACATTTCCAACAAATACCCTTTGTTCCCGCTACTCTCAGGCTGCTTCAGGCATCAAGGTCTTGATGCGAGATGATAGCCTCAGCATCTCGAGTTCTGCTCCATGAGTGACATTTCTGGCACCAGGTTATGCCGAGCTACGATGAGATACGTGTCTTTTGGTGGTGATGCTGCAAACGGGGAATCCGTCGGTGCACTTGCAGTTGTGGTTGTTGCTGCGGTCATCTTCTTCTTGCTTCTTGCTGAGAATGATCTGGTGAGTATCATGGTGATGCAAATCATCACCATCATCACCATCATCATCATCAATAATAATTATTAGTAGTAATATATAGTAATATAGTATAATATAGTGATAACAACTAACAATAACAACACTCATCGTCATCCTCATCATGGCTGGCAGGGAGATGGCGCAGCTCTGTCCCAGTGGAGCCTCCAACTAGGGGAACTTTTTTGTCGTAGACATATGAAACATCATGAAACATCTATCTGCACTATAGTACATGAAAATACATGAAGCGTCTCAACAACTGCACATACCATTTCTGGATATTTCTGGGTGCTCGGATAAGCTAGCAGTGTCCTCGGTTGATAAGATCATTCCTGCGCAGCAAATGCAGTGTTCATGTTTGCTTCCCCAAATCCACAGGTCTTCCTTTGTCTACAAGGTGAATGATATCTGTGTAAACGATACAGGATAATTACTATTTATTTGCAGAATATAGTAGCACATTGATCAGCGGATGGGTTGCAGTGAATAATTGCAAAGCAAAGACTGAAAGGCTGAACAGGCTGTTCAAGGGATTCTGTCACTCCTCCAACTCAGTCCGAACTTTTGAAAACTGCTGCGGCTTTCAATGATCAAAGTCCCCGTATGATCAGCGCAGTAGAAAGGAACAGCAACATGTGGATAAGAATTGGTCAACCGAGTCCTATACTTACTTGTGCTCTCAAGGTAGGGAATTTTCGGGAATGATCTGCTGGCAAACTATCAAAAAAAGAATCCCAGCAACCCCCATTCCCATCCATTCCCTACGTTTAGCACCAGTAAGTCATGGTACATCCAGCAACGGAAGAAATTTGATGATCAATGTCTGAGGATCAATGTCTAGGGATTGGTGAAAATACCCTGGATGTTCACTCGTTAAACGATGTAGGTTTTCCATGGGTTTTCCATGGTTTTCCATCGTTTTCCATGGTTTTCCATGGTTTTCCCTAGGTTTTCCATGGTTTTCCCACAAACCAAATGACATTTGGATTGAAACTGAGATACCTCATTCCAAGACATGAATTCAGACGTCATAATACCACCGTTCCACCATAAAACGGTCATGTTTTGCGCGCAACACACAGTAAATCCACGTTTTTATCAAAGTCAAATAAATCAAGTGTATATATTATATATAGAATCTTCATGATTTGCCCCTAAATCGATCTAAATTGGATGTTTTACAGTATCCCTACGAGAAATGAGGCGGATGTCTCGACCTTTCCTCCAGTGCCTCGACCACCCGCCGATCCAATCGAAAGCTCGCGCCTGTGTCACCGTTCGTCTTCTTTGCCGAAGCCTCGCGCTACCCGGAGTTGATAGCTATGTCTTCTAAGATATTTGTGAATAGCTCTTGATAGGATATGAAGTGAGATGATTGTTCTTTCACATAAATACATTAAATGATAATGTGTATTTGATGAATGTATTTATGAATAGATCTTAAGAATGCAATGCAATAAGATTTATGTTCATTTGTATATGTATGTATCAATATGTTGTGTATGTTTATATTTATGAACGTATATATCTTGAGCGTTTGAAGTAAATACTCCATATGTACTTATATAATATACTTGTGATGTGGTTATGATAAACTGGCAATATATATATAACTACTCTAATATAATATACATGTATACATATATATATACATATATTGTATCTATTCAAATTTCAAACAGAAACATACAGAAACTATTTTGCATGATGTGTGTGATATCCATGAAGATGTGGTCTTGTCAGATGTGCTGAAGCTGGACATCTGGACATGCCAAGAACCGCTAGCTGAAGCCGGGCCTTGTCAGACCTTGGCGAAGTCCCGACGGTTGGTTCGTGGCCATTCCCAGTGGGAAAATTGTCCCAATCTGTGGGATAGTCGGGATAGTATGATCATCATCCACAATATAATCTATTCATAAATATCATGGATGATATGGATGTATTGATCTATCGATGAGTGTATTTATAAATAGATCGGGATGATTTTCATAATGGATTGGCCCATATTAAAAATCATCAACCAATATTGGGGATTCCCAGTTGGATGACGATAATGATGATAGTTTATATATATAACACAGCAATACGAGTTTTGGGAATGACACTTCATGGAAAATGTCAATACAAGCATTATATATATATATATATATTATATATAATTATGATAATTATGATGATAATACAATCCACAATATCCACAATCATCAAGCAATACGAGTTTTGAACACTGCTCGCAGCAGGGAATGTCGTGGGTCAAACCACTGACCTGTTGACATTCGGATAGATGAATATCACCGCAGAGGCTGATATGCTGCTGCAGATGGGGGCAAATATCAAAGAAACTGCATCTCTGTGTACCATGGTTCACATGGGAAAGGTATCATGTAAAGCACTAGGCCTCAAAGCATCCAAGATGTTTCCGGTATGTTTCTGGACTGCAAAACATGGGCAATGTCAATGACCACCATCCACAGCAGCGTTTCTAACTATACAGTATTAACACAAAGAGAATGAAGAGAATGCCCACACCAAACTGTCCACATGTCCTCAACTTTCAATCTGGTTGCTTATCATTGCTTGTTGCCTGGCAAGAAATGTAGAAGTTGCATGAACTCGAAGCTGCAACATGATTCTAGCATGCAAAATACACCAAACCTCAAATGCCACAAATGTTGAGAGATACTGGAAGTTGCAGAATTCTGGTTCTGTTCCCAAAAAATCTCCCAGAGACTCTCAACACACTCTAGAGTTTCAGACAAGGTAGGCAAGCATTTTTGCACGTCGGCCTCAGCGAAGCATCACAACAACTTCAGAATGCCTAAAATTGGAAAAAGTACATCAAATCTCATCAAATGTCATCAAATCTCATCAACCTATCTGTCAACCAATGTAAGTTTCCAGGGAGCAAAGATTGGTTTGTCTGAAAATTAGCTACCTGCACTGTTCTTGGAAAAAAGTATCATTTTCCGGATTCAATTGGCCATATGTTTTGTGTACCCCAATTTCAGACACATCCAAATATCATCGCGGTGGTTATCATGCATATATATATACACGCATATGTATATGTGTATGTGTGTGCGCGTTATAACATGCTATATATATATCATTATATATACACATACATACATATGTAGTTATTGTAGTTATAGTGTACAGTAGTTGGTTTACCCCCAATTTTGTTGCTCTTGGACACCAGGACCATCAGACTGGATCCAAAAAGGTGACGAGCCATTCATCGGGCCGCCCTGCTGTGCCAGACTTTTGAGGCACTGTAGAGAGAAGTGGCCTAGGCATCTTTCGAGCCAAGCTTCGCTCACCGCAGCATCTTTCTTAACCCCCAATGCTTGTTGATCGCAATTTTTGTTGTTCGACAAGATCCTTGAAGTGTTGAATCTGTCATAGCCTGAGAATCAGATGATATCAGACTTTGATCCTCACTGTTGCACATGTCAATTCCAAAAAGTCAGAGCGATGCAAACACGCAGTCACACAGGAGGCTGCAGAGGGTTTGGGGAAGATACATCCCAAGAGTCAACTCCAACATTTATACATTTCACATTCACTGCACATACTTTCGAATTAGGCTCATTAGACTTTCAGGATTTCTCGGTCTTTTTCCTGTGGATCCTGTGGTCCAGGCATCGTCAAACGATTCCAATCCCGTGTAAACAGGGGCACCGATTGGCCTCCACAGGACATGTTATGGGGAACTTTGATGATAGTAATGTTACTAATGATCATATAATATCATATAATGATCCATATAATGATACGAGTAGATAATGATATATCATGATAATACAATAATTTAGTCAAATTAGATCATATTAGTCTATGATATGCTACATGCTGGATATTGCTGGACCAAGTTTCAAAGTTTGGACAGGCCAATGAAATCGAAAGGTTGCATGGGTTGCCCCTGTGTTTTACAGTGCAAAATCTGAAAAAAACACGTTTTTTTTGGCTGCTTCATATTACCAGAAAAGCAGAATGACCAGTTTCTGCAGCCCCGAAGTCCATAGCTTCGACAACAAAAACACCAGAATTCTGAGATCGATCCCTTTACGGAACCGGTCCCCATGGTCCCCATTGAACGACGGCCTTTGGCAGTAGGCGCCCTGTACACAGCTCTTGGAGTCCGCGACGCGAGTGGGCTACACTTTTGGCAGCTCAGCCGAGGCTGATGAGCCAAATGTTGACCAAATAAGTCTCGTTGCAACTGGCAAGCCATGTAACCAAATCCAAGATACCAAAAAAAAATAATACAAACAAATTGCCAAACCATGTAAAATTCCACAAAGTAGATTGAATCAGATTGATTCTCAGGGGTCCCTCTGTTCCACATGTTTTTCAATTAAGAAATAGAAACATATACTAGTATAACTGCAACAAAACAGGAACTTGCAGCGAAATACCTCTGATTCTGAGTCTGATTCCAAAAAATAAATCGCAAAGACTATTATAGAATATTATCATTAATGATATATCTATTATGATTATGAGTTATCCATTAATATTCCATTAATATCCATTAATATTCTATTATGAGTTATCATTCTATATCTATCCATTAATATTCCATTAATAATATTATTATTTATGATTGATATTTCATCCATGGGGCAGTTTCAAGATTCAAATCTTGGCTGAGCCTGCTCAGCCACTGCCACCATGGCCTCCCTTTCGGCCACAACCGTCGCCTGAATGTCAAACAACGTGCATACAATGATGGGACCTTGCCATTTATTATGTAATATTATATATATATTATAAGATACATGTGTATATATATATATTGTGTACGATTATGTACTTATATAGCTGTGCATGGGATTCAAAAAGCGCGTGGTTTGTAGGTCGGAGTTGATATGGAATGCCACCCTTTTGTGGTTGCTTCGCGATGACAACCACCCGAACTAAATTTTGAGAACAAACAAGACTGGCTTCCAATATGTCCTCCTGATCCAGGTTTTCTGCTAAGCATAGTCAGCATAGATCAAAAATTAAAATATATCTTGGGTTTTTCCGACAACAGATTACCCCCAAATTGGTGTTTTACCATCATCTTCCATTATTTGGATTTATTTGGTATCATTCCCCGTTGAACTGCCGTAAGTTGGGGTACACTTCCATTTTCAGGTGCCACACCCAAATTAGATATCATGGATCATTATTGTATCCCACAAAATATCCCCATGAATATGCCATGTCTGTGGTTAAACTACCAGCCACAACCCAGGTCGCAGGCCAGCCTCATTCAGCTCCGTCACCAGGTCGGCTTCGCGCTTCAACTTTCGTTGCTCCCTGTGGAGACCACTGGTACCGTGATTCACGGAGGAATTACACGGGATTCCATCAAAACATTGCCGTAATCTCTGCCAAGAAAAATCCATCCGTAGGTTACCACGTGTCCCACGTGTTTTGCTGACGAGCCTCAACAAAACCTACTCTGATCCAGAAGGTTTCATAAGGTTTCATCTAGTTGCCACAAGCAAGAGATATTCATAACGGAACACAAACACAATGATGTCCATCCTTAGGCATCATATTGGCATCTTCAGCGGCCGCAGCCCTGATGTTCTGACCAGATCTGACCAGTGTTTTTGTGGAATCAGCGGCTCGCTGATGCGCTGCCAGAGTATTTGACCAGGTCTGGTAAGTCTTCTGCTTTTCAGACCCAAAAAAGATCAAACGATATCAAACCATATCGAAATAGCTATTGAAAATGGCCATTTATAGTCCTGTAGAAAATTGGAAAAAATCATACGTTTATCTTTTTGGTGACGGCTCCCAACGCCTAGACCGCTTGCCGTACTGTGCAGCTAAGCTAGGCCTCACATGGGCATCCCACCTCTCCTGTTCATCCTGACAAACCAACAGCCGACAGTGGCTGCTCACAATAGCTGAAGAACATCAATCATTAACTTGAGCATTAACTTAACTAATGGCGCAAATTCCCTGCCTCAGTCTTCGTGATCTCCTTCTCCCACTCCTGTGGCGATTCAAAGCGTTTCTGAAAGCACCTAAAAAAACGAGAGGACCTCAGCATGCTCGTGAAATTCCCTTCAATTTGCAACGGGTATACTTGGATTGAGTTACTTTTTCGCCATGCGTACATGGCATGTGAAGATGAAGAACCAACCAGAAAGCCTTCGTGCCAGAATGGCACCTTGTTTGTCGGCTCTCGAAACCGCCCTTCTTTGAACGCGGCCACGGCTTCCTCGAAAGCTGAAAGCTGCGAAATAGTACTGGATTCATCCCTTCCCCCTTCAAACACCACCCTTATGGTCACCCAAAATGAATAAATTCAGTACCAAACTAGGGTCGACTAGGGTTTTAGTGGTGGCAACTATTCAAAATTTAAGCGTGATATGATGAATCAATCTATCAAAGGAGACATCTGCCTTAAAGATCACGTTGCCTTGAACAACCATACCAAAAGAAGAAAGATGACTCTCAGCCACCTCCCACTGGCGTAAGCCGCGATGGGCTTGGCCAATTCGGAAGTAGGCCTGGGCCAGGAGGGGATCAGCGGCAGCCAAATCTTGTAGCTGTTCCCTTCGGGGCCAACAACCCTCGTCCGGTAGATGAAGCCTTTGCAGCTACAATCCATCAAGTTTGTCCAAAAATAAAGTCGATATGGCAGTGTGTCAAAACCTTGTACCCCTGGTGAACATCAAAATAGCTGGTAAATGGATGTTCATCCCCCTAAAAACGGTATGTATAGGTATTGATCCATAGCCATATTCCAATAAACTGAAAAACATGTTCGCTGCAACCCTGACGTTGCTGCGCGTCTGACTTCAGGTGGCTATGAAGATACACTTGATGTTATTACCCCAATCAACATACTGTTCACAGGGGGTGGCAAATGTTGATCCCTTAAGAAGATAAAGATGATGTTTTTATTCCAATCAACATATTGCTCATAGAGGGTGGCAAATTTTGATCCCTTATGAAGATAAAGTTCATGTTATTACCCAAATCAACATATTGTTCATAGGGGGTGGCGAATTTTGATCCCTCATGAAGACAAAGTTGATGTTATTACCACAGTCAACATATTGTTCATAGGGGTGGCGAATTTTGATCCCTTATGAAGATAAAGTTGATGTTATTACGCCAACCAACATATTTGTTCATAGGGGGTGGCAAATTTTGATCCCTCATGAAGATAAAGTTGATGTTATTACCCCAACCAACATATTGCTCATAGAGGATGTCGGAATTTGATCCCTCATGGAGATAATTACCCCACTCAACATCTTGCTCATAGAGGGTGGCGAATTTTGATCCCTTATGAAGATAAAGTTGATGTTATTACGCCAACCAACATATTTGTTCATAGGGGTTGGCGAATTCTGGCCCCTCATGAAGATAAAGATGTTGATTATGATGATGGTGATGGTGATGATGATGATGATGATGACGATTGTAAGTGTGGAGCAACGTCCGGGTTGGGGCGAACATGTTTAAAACCGATGGAAAACTGCCATGGATTTTCAGTTTTCCTCTCCAATCATCCTCTGAAAAACAATACAATACAAATTGAGGGGTACCCCTAAATCATCCATTTTAATAGGATTTTCCATTATAAACCATCCAGCTATTGGGGTAGCTCCATTTATGGAAACCACAAAATGGAAAAGGTGTCATCCTCATCCTGTGGCTTTAAAGGGGTTTATACATGTATATACCACCTATTTATGGTGATTTGGGGGATGGTTTATTATTGTTTTACCCTCTGGTAAACAAACATAGCTATGGAAAATCACCATGCTACTGTATTCATGGGTAAATCCACTATTTCTATGGCCATTTTCAATAGCTTTTTGTATGTCTACCAGAGGGTAACCACATTCCAAATGGAAAACGTGACTGCCTTGGACCAGTCGGGCTTCAGGGAGCAACATTTCTTTGCATCTGCCAAGGCCTTTGGTTCGGTGTCCAGAGACCAGGGCATGGCCGTTCCATACAAAGGGTGTGTGGGTGTGTATATACATATATATATATATACATAGTATTATCATTATTATTACTATTATTATTAATTATTATTATTTATTACTATTACTATTATTATTATCATTATTATATAGATTACTAAATATAATATTATGTATATATATATATATATATCATGATTACATATATATATATATGACTAAGTATATTGCAAATATAATGGGATATATTATGGGTATAGAAATATACGTATAGGAATGCCGTGAATAGAAATGCCGTGAATATCCATAGTAGGAGTTGATTGGAAGTATAAACCTGTCTGTTAATGGTAGGGGCACATCGTTGTAGACAAATTGTACCGACTCGTGACCGTGCCTATTGTTTGAATGTTATTTCTGAAGAAGCAATTATAAGTTGATGTCAAGTTGATGTCAAGCACAATGTGCGATCTGTGTAATACATGCGCTGCCCACAAATTGCAGTAATTTGAAACGAAGGTACAAGTACCACAACGAAGATGTAGCAAAATGACAAGCAGACATGCTTTTGGCATGGAAAATACTTGCTGCCATTGCTGCACTCATTTCATATATTCCATTCCTGCCATTGCTCCCCATCCAGCTGTCCATCCTTGTCAAACTTTTTCAGCTTCACATAGCATGCAGAGCGATTCGAGTGGAGCCTCAATTCGCCAAGGAATTGGTCAAAGCTGCAGCACTTTAGTCGTGTGTAACTGAGGAGGCTGCTTCTCATCCTCTGGCGTGTGGCTCAAAGCCCGAGTGTAGTACACCTATGAAAGCCGCTGTGTTGAAGGGCCAGGAATGCTGGAGACTGGACATGAAATGTCTTGAAAAGCGTCTCGCATGCAATCATTTCATCATAATTCATATTGATTTATTATTATTCATATCATCACCTGAATCACCTGATTTACATCCAGTCCCATCACGGAAGCCAGTTGCTCGACCCTAATTCACACCCCTGAGGACACGACAACTGCATCGCGCCATCCGGAGCTCTTGAAGCAACTATCTGCCTATGAGCCGCAGAGGCGAAGCGGGTCCATTGCGGGCTTGCCCTTCATGGGGAACTTGGCCCCAAATATATCGCAATTTGAATGGGTATAAAGTATTATCAAGTGACAATAAAAAACTGGATTTGGGGATATCCTGGGCATATATATACACCCAACACATTGGACAACCCATTGTCGTTGTGTATCCTCTTTACGATCAGTTGAACTCAGCCACTACCCAGCACTATCCAGCATCTGCGACGTTTGGTGCCTTGGCCTTGAACTCTTTCGCAAGTTCCTGAGGATTGAAGGGGAAAATCAGCTTTGACGCTCAGACAATGAACAACAACAACAACATCATCATCATCATCATCATCACCATCATCATCATCATCACCATCATCATCATCATCATCATCATCAACACAAAACAACACAAAACAACACAAAACAAACATATACCAAAAATAATATACCAAAAATATACCAAAAATCATCTTGCATCACCTGGACCCAGGGCAACTCATCTGGCAACTCGACATGGATGATGAATGATGGTTGATTCATCGAGGGCTACCTTCTTTTAAGAACCAATTGATGGATATTCCAATGATATTCCCGAATATTCCCGTAAGAACCTGCATAAGTTGGGATGCAACAATGCAACCCCAAAAAAAAATCTGGATGTTATGGATGTTATGGATGTTATGGATATTCCCCAAAAAAAATCTGGATGTTATGGATTGCTGAACTACCAGTGGTCTCACATCCGACAAACACATTGCCTGTGGAGACCAAGCGCTGCGATCAGGTGAGGGAGCACGGATGGACTTCGCCTGGAGCTCCTGGCGATATCTGGCGATCCCCCTACGACGATCCGATGCTTCACTAGAAATGGGTCAACATGTGTATAAGTGGTCCACAAGTGGTCCACAAGTGGTCCACTTGGTTTGAAATTTTGACCAATATCATCCAATATCTTGTCATGATGACTTCAACCTCGTCATGACAGTTGTGGTGATCGTAGTCTTGGTGATGGAGATGTGATGGCGATGATGATTGGATGAGCTCCTCAATAGCCGGTGCTGCTTCTCTCTGAAGAACCAACCTCAAGGGAGACCAATAGAGCAACAGTGAGTGTGTGTGTGTGTGTGACACGTCCGTCCTAAGAAGTGCATAAACATGTATAAACCAGCTCTAGTGTGAATGAATCATTTATGAAATTAGTCTCATTTGAGTTTATCAATCAGACAAGAATCACAAGAAAATATACATTATTTAATGTGAGCTTCTACCCATTTCACGCAAACAAGCTACTTCAAATTGGATCTAAGCTGTCCACTCGTTTTCTACCATCAGGTGCGGCCTGGCTCTCCGGCTCTTTTCATGGAACGTGGCGTTCAAATTTGAGGTGAAAGGAAAAGCGTCCAAAAGCTCAGTTCGCTGCCAGTGCTTCTTGGAAGCCTTCGCCTTTGTGAGGGTTACCTGATTCAGGCCGAAAAAACTGCATTTAAGCCCGGGCTGTGTTTTGCTTGTGAAAAATGCAAAATCAGCTCCGGCAGCAAAATCACACTGTGAAAAATCTTACCAAATTTATGACGCTATACATTTGATGGAATGAAGGGTGCCTAGGACTGATGTCGACTTCTCGCCTGCAAACATGTATTGTAAAGGTTGCTGGGTGTCTTTCCCGACTCATCCTCCATAGGAGCAGCAGCCTCGCAGTAAGCTTTGAACTGTAGTCATGATGTGGGCTTATCTCAAATTCTGAAACGAATCGGAATCCCATCATCATCATCATCATCATCATCATCATCATCATCATCATCATCATCATCATCATCATCATCATCATCGCCATCGTCGTCATCATCAACATCATCAATATCATCAACATCATCAACATCATCAACATCATCAACATCATCAACATCATCAACATCATCAACATCATCAACATCATCAACATCTATCATGTTTTTTTCACATTGAAATGCCTTCCAGACTTTTGGGCTAAAATTGGCAAATAATGTAAATATTCACTATTCATTTTAATAATTATTTAACAATATTTAACATATTTCACCAGTTGGAGGTTCGAGAATTTGGGAAACATTTTGGTCATTGGGGATTGACTGTTGGAATCCTTCTACAACGTGGAAGCCGCCACCATCAGCCTTCACGATCTCCCAGCGGCTTTGATCCGGCTGAATCTTGTCAAAGAGCTGCCCCTACGGTGTGGGGATCTGCTGGCTACAAAGGCTACGAAATGCCGAAAATTTCAAGGTAAGACATTGTCTGGTAGGTTCATCCTTTGGATGTTTCTTGTTTTTTTTTACAATTTGCCAGCTTACGCACTGATTTGATCTGATTTGCACACTGATTGGGACAATCTTGTAATTTGAAACGGCAAGACCTGGTCCAAATTGGTCGTTCCATCATCATTCTATGTGTTGGAACCAGATGCCCGCTGCGCACCATTAGAATTGGAGACTTCTCATCACCTCTGATAAAAACTTTGAGGTACCTGGATTGCGAAGCCGGCCTCATTCCAAAAAAAATGTGTAGTATCATGGAGACAATCCCTATGAACCATTGGATGACTAGCCCTTATTAATGGTTATTAACCATGAGTATTGACCACAGCTCATATAGCATCATGGAGACAAGTGATGAATGAAAACAACGGCTTGAAGAATGGATCATCAAGGTGCCAAGGACATCGACCCTGAGGCGCACTGCTCCATGACATCTACACCAAAAATATCTGCGAGGCACACAGTCTCGCACGCCTTGGGGAGATCAGTGGCAGTGCCGAGGCACACAGCAGGTGCAGATGCACCAGTTTGAAGAATTTCCGAGGGCCATTGGTGCTATGCAAGACTGATATTGTGCCATATTCTGCCCATGATGGTATACAGAGGCAAGGCTGAATTGCTGAATCGTTCAGCGTGATAGCCGCACCTTGTCCAACGCTGCCTTGTCGAGATGGATTCTGTAGATGGCTTTCTGGTCATCCTTAGAGTTGTCTCTGCTCACAGCAACATTCCGCCGATTCCGTTAAGAGTCAATGGACTGATTCCTGATGATCCAGAGTTTCTCAGCTAAGGAGTAGAGGTCGTGCATGAAAATTTATACAGCAAGTCACGATATATATATATATATATGTGTTATGCAAATCGTGTATATATATATATACGTATATTAATATACACGTATATATAATATATTATAGTACACTATGACCACTATGATATCGACAACACATCATATGCACCGCTGAGCCCCTGGCTTGACCATCCTCCAGAGCGGCGCACAAGTCTTCCCTTCGAATGACGAAGGCATCCTGCCGATGCCTTTTTTTCTAGGAGTTTGATGGGAGTTCAATAGGATTTAAATGGATTTAATGGATCTTAATGGGATTGAACCATGATTGAAGCAACAAACATGGTGATAGAATGGAATATCGATGGAACATCTACAGTTGAAAGTTGAAAGCATGGTTTGTACCATTACAGGGGTCTTCCGGATTAATTTTTAGCACCATGCCATTCTGTCAAAATTGGTGCACACGTTTGTGCGCAAAAAAATGTGCTTGCAAGATCCACTCTTCAACATTCTTTAACCATGTTCTCATGACATGCAGTGGGCCCCAACAGGCCACTTTCATGTTGATGAAACCGTAGAGAATTGCAGGAGACATGGCAGTCCATTAGAATTCACGGTTTCGTGCAGAGCGCAGCTCAACCAAGACTCCAATGCTAAAGAAAGATCTCGATGATTCATGATGATTCTGGAGAGTCTAATGTCAACCCCAGACTAAGAAATCATAATAAATCCTGGTTGATTCATTGGGGTTGGGTACCCCCCCAGTAATTAATGATTTCATCTAAAATGGTACGCCCCCAACTGACCTAAAGCCGTCCTCTTTGCTGGTGATGCGGCCAGCTTTGACCTCGATCCAGAAATGACATCGCCGAGAGTCAACCACACTTCAACGACCCAACCCCTGGAAAGAAAAACCATGGAAAAACCACCGTCTATTCTCTGCTGGATCTTGGAATTCCAAGTTATCAACAGCCAGAAGAAAGTCACCCGATCCAAGCAGCTCCCAGCTGCCTTTGTCAAGATCTCTTCGGCTTTTTTCAAGCTTCGCGTTGCTGGGGTCCAGCCAAAGTGACTCCTGGGGCGCGAATCAACTCCTGAGATGTCTGGAATGTCTGGATAAATGATGATACATCATCTTTGGACATCCCTGTTATCTATGGGCACCAAGAAAAATGCAGAATGAATTTCTGTGGCTTGGTGGAAGTATGCCCTGCTCATCTGAGGACAGAACTTGCGATGATGGTTCATGCCAGGCTTCCAAACCTCATGGTTTTTTGGGTCGATCCTTGTTTTTTTGTAAACTTCATGGCCCGTAAAGACAACATATTCAAACCATGTAAACAATCTGAAAAAGATGGATGACTCTCAGGTTCAAAATGGCTCGAATCTTCCCATGGCAGTTCATGTTCATTTCAGTGTTCTGTCAGCGACCCGACTATGGACAAGGATCGTAATTGGGAATCAAAATTGTGTGCAATGAAAATGAAGGAATCATAACTTCAACCTTAATCCCTGTCTGAGCATCCTGCAGCATTCCAGGCCTTTCATGCGGATTGGCCCGGATGGGCAGCACAGCAGGGCAGGTCCCAATGCTACGACATTTTCGAAATACTTGCCTTGCGATCAGGGTATAATCAGAGTCACATAGAATTTTTCTCAGCCACTCTGACGCAATCAAATGACCATTCAGGTTTGCTGGTGGATCATGGCCAACTTATCACCGACCGCAACGTCACGTCACCCCCGTCCTTGTGCTCTCGCTTCGCCAGCTGAATGGTAAATACCATTCGATCGCCCTCCAAGTGGCCGCTTAAAGCCATGGTAAGAAATTGGTTTTGCCGAGTTTTTGGTCGGTATGTGCAATACTAAATATATATATATATTATACATGTATATAAATATGTATGTATCTGTGTGATGTACTCATACCTATGAATATTATACGGTACGTACATAATATAATAATATCTATAACTCCATATATGTATATAAAAAAATACAGTAACATATTACAGTAGATACTGTTCTTAGTTCCCCCTGATTGTTGGCTATCTACCTCAAGTTCCTGCATACCTCACACCGGACCTCGTTTTCCAAAGTCCACCAGGAGAGATCTCGTCGGACATCTCCATACCTAGAGGTCACATTGGGTGAACGGTGACTGGGCTAAACCAACCACAATTTAAGCTGGGTTTATTAGAGATAAATGAGATAACTGACAATAAGGGCTATCACTATCACTCACTGATTGTTATCCTTCCATAAGTTGGATATTCATTGGAGAACTATATATATATAGTGACACTGATGAACTCTTCCATTTTGATATCTCCTTCTCATCATCTATCTATGAAAAATGGGACCCCAATTGTCTTTGATCACTGCTGCAGGGACTGATCCAGCCCATGGTGACTTGGTAATCCACCACCATTTTGAGACACCCCCATTTAACGGGATACACAAGTTCAAACAGAACAGCATCTGATCAGAAGAACAGAGCCGCAACTTCGAACGACTTCAAGTTTGTGTCAAGCCTGCGATAACCCTACATATCCCTTGCTTTTTCCTTTGTTGGCTCATGATTGGTCTGTGTATTGCTGAAAAAAAAGTGCCGCACAAGAAAAACGAGGAATCCCAAGGACCCTGGTGGAAATACTCAGCCAGTCTCTGCGGCACTGGTCTCTAAGGCCATGACAAACTCCCATTGAGAACTGCCAGGTACGAGTCAAGGTCTGGTCTGTTTGAAGCCTGGCCACTGGGAGTGCATACGATAAACGGGTGACCTGCACAACTTTGGCAAAGTCTATCTGTTCATGACTGCAATTCTCTCTTGTGTCTATCACTAGTTCAATAGTCTACACTAATGATCACGTCATCACTAAAGATACTAAAGTTCTTATTTGGGTCGTATACGCCATTTTTTGAGACAGACCCAAATTGGAAGCTGCTTATGTTTCATAACATCTCATCAAAAAAAACATATCTGGCTGAAAAATGGTCGCCATGGCCGTTTGGGGATGATAATTGTTATATTAACCCCATTACCATTCCCAATTTTGCCTCCATTATCTCCCCCCTTATAGTTATAACATGTTATAACCCCATGATTCATGAGTAATTTATTGGAAGCTTTGTACATATTCCGTAACATATCCATGTTACCATGTTATAGTTATACTTTAGTTATAACCCCATTTAATAGTAATAGAATGTTATAGACATAGATATACTTATAACATCTTATAACTGTATCCCCATGGACTTTCCACATATGGCAGTGTGTCAAAACCTGGTACCCCTGTAGTTCACATCAAAATAGCTGGTATTTATGGATGTTCATCCCCCTAAAAATGGTATTAATAGGTATTGATTCATAGCCATATCTTCCCATAGCGTTGGTCCCAGGCTTTTCCTCACCTTGACTTTCAACTCCCAGCTGCGGAGCTCCACCAGAAGATCCGCCGCACACAGCGCCGACAACTGCGGCACGCTGGACAGTTACATGGCCTGGGTAACCCTCGGTTGTAGATAGGTAAGTAGACAGGTAGATAGATATGATAGAGATAGGTATAGATAGATAGATTTGACTACATTTGACTAGATTCGGTTAGATTCGGTTAGATTCGATTATATCGAGCAAATTAGTTTAGATGAGTTTAGATTGGATAGAGAGGGCTTAACAAATAATATATAGCCAATATGGGTTTATTTTCCCTCTCATGGGGTTAAAACCGATAAACGGGGTATAATATATACTAACCGACACTATGCATGTTTTGAAATTGGTATGTGAACCAACATGTTATATTACATATATATATAATTATAATATATATATATGTATTCTGATATACATATTAATTAAATTTAATTAAGCAACAAGAATACGCCCCTAATATTAGCCCTGATGTTGGGTACTCTGTAACTCGAAGTCTATTTGTTGCTGACTATGACAGATTCCTCCGTTGAACTAAACCAAGCCGTTGATGTACCCAACCGAGGATTTTGTTGTGAAGGAAACATCGACAAGTTGGAAGGTTTTTTTGGGATGCAAAGAAACCAAGAATGGGGATCTGAGCAACTCAAAGTAAGGGATGTTTAAAAGTTTAAAACAACAAGAGTTGTTGGTTATTGGCTGGTTGGTAGTTGAGCCACGCATGAAACACCCAAAAAAATGGGCGGTGTTTCGTTGCCGGGAGGTACCTCAATGGATCATCACTGGGATGCAACGCTGACAACTAGTCACTGGAAAACGGATGGGGTCGACTTTACATCTATAAACAACGTAAGTGCCAAAGCTAATCTTTCGGATTCCAGTGGAAAATATGTCAGATGATGTGCAACACAAATCATCCCTTGAAGTCTTCTCGTCACTTCCAACATGGGATTGCGATGTTGAGATATCTGTACATTGCTATGTTGAGCCTGGTGGCTGGTTTGAACTTTCAACTTGTTCCCACGAGGCTTGAAATCACCCACTGTCGCTTTTCTCTCATGTTTGACACGGGTGCCGCCTCTTCTGGGAAGACATATTTCAAGGTGATGCGCCCCATGTTTTGCTCATAGTCTACTTCCCTGGTGGCAGCTGCTGAAATCGGTAGTGATCACAAAAAATGCCGTGTTCACCAGAAATTAAGCCTCCAACTTGGTAGTCCCACGGCTGGGCACGCACGCAAAGTCTCGCAGTTTGTACACTTGGCCCTGGCGCTGGCGCGGTGGCATTGAATTGGAACCAAAGTGAAGCTTCAAAAAAAGTACAAAAATTGCACTTTGCCAGGACATGTATTTCTGTTACTACAGGGCTTGCTAACCTTCGTGTTTTCATTGGCTTTAAGCGAACAAGGTTTCAACTTGAGACCTAAACCAGTACAGCACTGTCATGGGATGACCGCAGCAAGTATTTTTCGGTGATGACATGCTAGACCAGTATTGGTTATGCACAAAACCACTATGATTGGTGTCAAAAATAAACAAGGTCTCCCGTAGATTTTCCCTTAAACCAATCCATTCCATTGTTTAAAATCCGGACAATTGGGATTTCTACTAACCCTTGCCCATCGTTGCAGCAGCTTTTCATAGCTTTTCTTGGAGGTTGAGAATGCTGGGAAGCACTGGTCTATCTGGTCTGAGGGAGAATTGCCCTCAACTTGGTCCTCAATTTTGAGGCTGCACGAATTTCATGGTGCTGGCAGACCACTGTTTGAAGCTGCAACTGCTGATAGTGGCATTGCTACCACTGGCATTCCTGCTACCACGGAAACAAACACGGTACTCAAAGGAGAACTGAATCGCAAGCCAAGAAAAAACGTGTGAAATAGTACATGGACCATGAAAGGCACAAACCGAATACAACCAATAGCCAATAACCAAAACTAGAGAAGGAACCCAAGCAGTGTCGTGGCATGAGTCTGTGCGGTTCGCAAGTCAAACTCTGGTCGCCTGCATCCGACTAGCACCATATCTGCACGGTGGAAAACAAGAGATGCACAGGTCCCTGCAACGACCAGCATCTTTCTATTTGCCGCGGGTGTCACTCACCCGAAAACAGGAAGAAACAGGAAATCCTCAACTCTGCCATAGACTTTCAAATTTCTGCAAACATCTTGCAAACATCAGAAGTGGCACCATGGTTTTCACTGTCACAGGAAGTTAAAAGACTCGCAGTGAAAGGCGCTTTGTTGAACGCCTCACTGCAGACTTTTGTCACCATGCAGTCACCGAATGCCGTGGCAACGCCAGGGGAATTCCTGAGCAGTGGCTTCATATACCTGACCTGTTCAATTGTTTGAAGCAAAATCCGAAATCCCATGGCTGATCGTAGTTTTCTCCATTCAAACAAGTTAACATCAGGTGCAGGTAAATCCATCATTTTTGACACACACCCCTTACAGTCTTCATCTTTTCTGTTGAACTGTTGACTCACAGGCTCACAGGTCTTAAAATCCCAAATTTGGACTGGTTGAAGACTGGGATTTTAATGGAAATCCCCAATTTTCATGGGTTAAATCCCAATGGAAAACACCAATTTTATCCAATTTTAAGCTTTCCACCGCTCGTTGGATGCTCAGCTGCGCGCTTGGACTCCATGCAGTTTATTGGTCCAAGGACAGTTTTCCTGACCACCAAGGCAGCATGACGGTGCTTACAACGTATTTGGGAAAACCACGTAGGAAGCCACACATTGATGGTCCATGATTGGCTTGGGCAAAACAAGAAAACTACAACGATATATCAGTTCGATTCATTTCTCAAGTCGAAGCATGCAAGGGAATCAGAATAGAATTTTCAAAATATAGAGGAAAAGGGAAACACTACTATCTTTATTCAAAAGCCACAACTCAATTTTGATACCACACCATACCACAACTCAATTCAAAAGCCGCCGCTTTTCTCGCCTGCTTGTTCCATCTCTTCAATCAAATCCTTGGCGCATTGACAATAAAAAGCTATCCCAAGTCGTAAAAAACATGTTACTATGTTAGTTACTATGGGATGTTATGAAATGTTATGAACTTATCCAAACTATCCCAAATGATCAAAGTTATTGTGCTCAATTGATCCCATTGGCTATCATCAAATAATCTATAAAACTATCCGTGGGCATTGTTTTCGGAGACCTGATTCAGCCAAGGAACATCAATCTCAGTCCTTGGGAGAAGTGGTGAAACACTGCGAGCTTGCCATGAGCATGGCGTAATATAAGGGTATATAAACTTGAGATTTGACAACCTCGTGGGAGGTCTATCTTGAATTCCAAAAGAAACACACATGAAGAACAAGGCAGGTCCAAAGCAAATGAATGCTTCAATCATTGTGATTCTATATCTAGCCATCACTGTTCATACTTGCACTTGCATTTCAGTGTTTCAGACTTGATCAAACTAGACCAAATCATTCCCCAATCCCATTATCTGCAAATATCTCAGAAGAGAAGATGTACAGGAGACAACCGCTGAAATTCATAATCAAAACATGCAATTCAAGGTTTCCTGTAGACATTCCCTTAGACCAATGAAGATGACAAGGCTCTGGTTGGTTTTCTTGGCGTCCTTTGCTTTCTTTTCACCCATGACGGCGCTTGCATCTCGCGACAGCTGCCTACTCACGAGCTGGGCATAGACACCTCCTTGCGCCACCAATTCATCATGGGTGCCCTTCTCCACAATGAGGCCCTTGTGAATTACACAAATCTGGGTGGCGTTGATGACGGTACTCAGACGGTGAGCAATCAGAACCACTGTACCTGGTGGCTTCATCCAAGATGGACAGGGAAGTTCCCCCCCAAAAAAAAGGTACACCTGGTATGGCTTCCCAAACAGATATGCTTTCCGGAAGAGTGATAGGATGTTTTTTACACCACCCTGGATCACAATGTTTGCATGATATGGGGAAACAACTTCGGCATGGGCAAGCACGTTCTAGAATCACCAAGCACCCGCAAATAGAAATCCATGGTCTCGAGAATGTCTCTCAAATGGCCGCATCAACCTGCGCTTTGCCCACTAGAACCTCCATTTATAAGCCATTTATCAATGGTTTTTCCACATCTTTTCCCGGAGCCCAGGTGCTATTGAGTTCGTAAAGGAGTTTCTCCAGTGCCTGCTGTACGATCGCTTCATTCTCGGCATCAAGTGCACTGGTAGCTTCATCCAAGAAGAGCATCCTCGAGCCACGAACAATATTCCGATCTACTCGCAAGATCATGTAGTGATGGGACTAAGTGGGATAGTATAAATATGTATTATCCATATATATATATATATATACATATATATATATATATACATATATATATATGTGTGTTTATCAATAATCTAGTATATTTAATATCAATTCTATATTTCATATGAATTCAGACTTGAATGACAAAAAAACAAAAGGGAAGGACATGCTAAAAGGATCTAGAACGGTTCAAAACATGAGCAGTTGTTTAGTTGAGGAACAATGTCTCTCCAGGCATGTGAATCATAGCAAATGAGCAAATGGCAGAGCAATGTCAAACCCCAATTGATAAACCCCCAGCTGGAATGGCAATTATTTGGTAAACCATCTCCAAAATAACCAAAATTTTATGGATGGGATGGAAACCATCAATTTACATTGGTGGTTTATTATTGCTTTACTAACATCATTATTTTTTTATGGTGCCCCCAGAATTTCATCTGAGGGTCCATGGACCGCACCCCTGAAGACAGCACGTCCCGTATCACCACCTACCAAAAGAAAAATATATCTCATGGCACCAATTTGGCACCAATTAAATATACATTATATGTGATATATATATATATATATGTATTATATATATAATATATAAAATCTTATTTTGAGTAACGAACACAGTGACTTGGCTGATGCAATCTACAAGTACATCAATCTACTCAATACATTTAAACAGTGCTTCTCCGCTGCGGAAGGTAATCCCATCCCCCTAATATTAAACACCCCTAAATTCTCCCAATGTGGAAATTCCCATAAATTCCCTACATCCAACATGGTTGCTAAAGGGGTGCTTAATATTTTCACAGGGGAAGGGCTTATTGGCCCCGTTTCCAGGAGCCATTCGTGGCCTGGGTCTTCGCAGAAAGCAGCGAGCCACAGCCAAGCGCTGCTTCTGCCCTCCAGACAGCATGATGCCTGCCACACCAGCCATGGGCCCATCCAATGGGAGGCTGGGTCAACTTAACAAAGCCCTTGCACTAGTCACCGAAACATCGGAAAACGATGCAAAACGTACAAATCTCAGTCTCAAACCCGCTTTCCAATGGTTCCAGTTCGCCTGCCTTTCTCTCCGACACGAGTGTCATAGCCTTCTTCCATTTCCAGAATGAACTCATGTGCATTTGCTGCTTTGCAAGCCGCGACGACTTCTTCCTGCAAATTTATGTCATTGTGATATTGACCTCGAAGCTTGGAAATAGATCTATGGGGATGTGCGCAACATAAATCTTAGAAGAGTGGAAATGGAGACGCAAAAGGTGTGTAAAATTGCCATGTTCGTATGGAAAATGATGATAAATCACGATAAATTATGATAAATGATGATAAATCATAGGAGTTTGGGGTACAGTACTACCGTACCACCACTTTTTTGGAAAGTCGCCTTCTTTCCATCCAGGTACCGCGGTCCTTGGAATGTTCTCTTCCAAGACCGTACGCGAGATTCTCTTCAATGGAGCAGGTAAAGAGCTGGGTGTCTTGGGCTACAAAGCCTGGCTGCAACACCCAGGTCACTGGTCATGTCATGCCGTAACTAGCCATGTCCAAACCTCATAGAAAACATGTCCTTGAATGATAATAAATACATAATATATATATATATATTGTATGTATATTGTATCTATATTATATAATAAAATAAATACATAATATATTATGTAAAGGGTCAATGCTAACCTGAACTGAAAGCTTTTCTGTACAGCGTCTTTGATCTCGGTCAAGGAGCCACAACACTCGCGCACGCTCTTGGAGGACAGCGACTTTGTATCCTGGGCGGTCTACCCGCAAAACTGTGCTCCAAGAGTAGCATCATGGATCATAATGCGAATGAAACTCACACAGTCGCAAAACACCATTGCCCATAGGATCCATGGTGCTGGTATATATACTAACATAAAGGGGGTATATTGATGGGATCCATGTTACCATATATAGCATACATGGATCCTATGGGTTGTAGTATATGAGAATGAATCGAAACCGCAGGTGAACACTAAAATTATTGGTAGATGTTCAGATGTTACCGCGAGCTCCATCGCTGGAAAAGCCTGCCATTTTCGATGATGTTCCAAATTCAATGCCCGGATATTGCGAATGATGCTAATGTTCCCGTTCAAACTCACATGTATAGTGGATTTATAGTGGATTTTAGCATTTCAATTCCTCTATAAAGATCTATAAAGATCAAAAAAAAACGGTGGACGAGGATTTCGCAGCGGCCCCTTTTAGGGTATGTCCACTGCCCCAAGGATCCTTGCCATCCAATATGATTTGTCCGGCTGTTGGCTCATAGAAACGCATCCTGAGGACGACCATGGGCGGGACCATGGGCACTCTGATCCCCTAAGCCCTTTGGGGATGTACCATGCTGCTGAAGAATGTCATTTTATTTTAATACATCTTAAATAGATGATCAATTAATAGAATTGAATAGAATTAAGCCAAGCAGCAGTAAATGAACCAATGTGCTCTTCCCACCTCCACTCTTGCCGACTAAGGCCGTGGTTGTACCTGGTGGCATCTCCACATCAACACCTGCGCTCAGTTCATGAAAGCCAAAGCTTTGCGCTGTCAAGATCTGAGAAGATATGAGAAGATCTGACAATCAAATGTTGCTTCACACCCTCAGTATTCCCTAATGGTTCTTCCCTGGCCCTAGATGTCCTAGTCGTAGCCACACTGCTATTCGTTGAGATGCTACATATCTCCGCGTATTTTAAGTATCGATGTCGCGTCGATGTCACTGCTACGGAGATCCCCCGCCTTTCAACACAAGGGTGTCTGGCCGTGATCGATAGCGAAACTGAATTCCTTTGAGCTGCAGGTATCCTCAGCGAAAAGTGAGATGAACGTGCATGTGAACAGTAAAAACATGCAAATCATCTGCATCGTACGAAGGATAGCCAATCCGATAATTACCTTCCAAAATTAAACCATAACAGTATTGTCTTCTGCAAGCTTTGCTCACTAGACTCTCACAAGACGGACAACACAGCATTCGAGAGCAGCACATGGTGCAGATCGGTGCAGATGATTGCCAAAAGGATCATGATACGAGTATCGCAAGCAACATCGAATTAGATTCTTTCTATGTGTGAAGCCTCCCGAAGAAAAGAAGAAAACCAAGTTGACTGAGGAGCAGGTGGCCCGAGTGATTTGATGCCATTAGTATGTCATAGTATTTCATTGGTTCTATGAGTTCTATGGACTTTTAATGACGTTTATCATCTTTTATCAACATAGTTGATTTATGTCGATTTGAAGCTGCCAGGAGCCCAAGATAGCCCAAGTGTCCTTTGCATTCATTGCGCTTCACGACTTCTCCCTCATCTGGATTCACATCTGGCCGTGCATCGATCAAGGACAGCACTCGCTCTGCGGCACTCGAGGATCGAATCAAGTCGTTGAAGACGTTGCCCAAAGAGATGAAAGCATTGTTCATCATATTCCTATGGTTGCTTTCAAACAATGATGAACCGAAAATGGATGAAAATGGGGGGCACAACACCAACGGAAAATGGTAGAGTACACCGAATAAAAAGAAAACAACGCAAAGAGAAAAAAAGCGGAAACAAAACGCGGAAAAACAAAAATTACTTGAGCAAATCCAACCTTTCCAGTACAGTTGGAAAGTGATCAAGGAACCAATGCTCATAATCTGACCCTTTGAATCGCAGACAAGCTGTCCGCCATACCACAGAATCAACACCGCTGTACCCAGATTCAAGTACATAGAAAATGCAGTGACTGTTGCTCCCACGTAAGCGTTCTTCACTCCGTGGCCCAGTGCAGTGTTGACACTGTCTGCATACTTGTTCGCCTCAAATTGTTCCTTGGCTTTGCAACAAGCCATTGAATCCTTCCAATTGATCAACTCGAAATAGTTATGGCAAATGATCAAAACCTATCATATACATTCATATACAATACGTATATACGTATGATATACGTATGATATATATAAATCATCTTTTGAGGGAATAACCCCCATCTACCAATATCTATCAGCTCCTTTTTGCTGTGAAAACCCTCAAATGCCATGGGATTTCCGGATGATCTGCCATGGATCGGTGGAGAAGCCACGCACCGTGCGGATGTTGCCGATGGCATCCGTGGCCGTGGAATTGGCCTCGCCCAAGGCGCAGTAGATGGAGCGGGTGACCTTCCGAGCCCATTTGGCGTAGGCTCCTTGGGAAGCTATGGCAGCTATGGCAGCTACGGCTGTGGCCCCTTTGGTGACCTGAAAATGGGGGATTAACCACCAAGATTGTCGGAACATACACTTTGGCATGTGAAAATTTAGAAAAATGTATTATCCCCTCATATTCAATTGAAGGCACCCTATAATATCTATAATGGGGGGGACCCCGAAATGAAGAGATCCATAGATCCACAAATCAGGGATGGGGACTGGAATTCAACCTGGATTCATCGCTTGGTAGCGGGATGCACATCCAAGAAATTCCAAGAACCAGGGGCGACGGTCACAAATTTCATGCTTTAGAACCTCATATTTTCCCCATTAAAATTGCAGAAAATTGGGGGTATATCACCGTGTAGTAACAGTAACAGTCAGTAACCAATTTTCAAACACGCCCATGTAGACATTTTGATGAAGTGATGTACATGTCCTGATGTCAAAAAGAAAGGAACTCCTCGAAACAATGGAAACGCATCCTTCCAATTCAATTGCAGCAGTAATAACGGTTGGAACCGCTACGGTGGCAATCTTTTACAATCATATCATAAAACAATGCAGAAGATTCATGTTGCTATGCTGCAATGATTGTGGAAAATATATAAACAAATGAACTTCAGATTTTATTCATGTGATGTTCCCCGGAGAGTGACAGGACACTGAGTTGCTTAGGTACTCCCGTGATATTATATATTACCACTAGTATTGAGAACATCATGCAACAACCACCTCAATGCGCTTGAGGATCTGTAGCTATAGGTGATTGGAGGAACAATTGTCAGCGCCAAGACTGACAGCTTCCATGATGTCTTGAACGCCATCAACATGCCACCCACCTGCCAAATGGGTCGCCAAATGGCTCGACTGATACCATCGGGTCCGAATCGTTGGTAAAGTTTCCAGAAGTGCCGATGTTTCATTCGGACTGTGTTTACATGCCAAAACAAACTCCAACCTTCCGACCTTGTTTGATTATATATCTATAAATAGGTACTATAATAACTATATAGTTTGATTATATATATATAATCATAAAGATAATTGTAAAAATACTCCAACTATTTATCTACTGTTAGTCCCACCAGAGTGTGCTACTGTACTTTGCGAACTACTGCGAACGTGATTTAAGTACTTCGTATGGCAAACGTCTGCCCCGAGTGGATGCGTCACGACTATTCCATCATATTCACACATGCACATGGCCGTTGCGCTGCCGGAGAACAAAAACAGGAAACCATTCTAAACCATCTATACATACCATGATTCTCAGTACAGCTCTCCCTGCAAAAAAAAAAAGATTTTGTCCTCAAATAGCAAACAAGCCACTAGCAGGAGCACATTTGCCAGGAGGTCATTCAAGAGTGTATTCAGCGGTGATGTCATCTGACCTCTGCACAATCGGTGCTTTTGATTGGTTGTTGATGACAGTCATTTTAGGCATTGGTGCCCTAGAACGCTCTAACTCCAAAACATAATAATACATAATATGTGTGTTAAATGTATCTTTGAAAATAATATGTACATTGTGAATCATTATCATATCGTATATATAATATATATATTATATATAATATATATATTATATATATATATACAAGAGCAGCATTAGAAAAAGTGTGATTAAATGCCTATGTGGCATGGGTTTGCTTACGTGTGGGCTTTCGAACTACCCACACAACCACAAATTTTGACTTATGCAGGGGTCGGGGTGTGAGTCGGTCTATGTCGGTCTTGCGCAACACTTGCCCGACTTGACTTCCCCAAAATGTGACTTTCCTGCAAGAAATATCAAGGAATTGCTCAGGCCTGGGCCTACAACATGCATCTATAACCAAAATGTGTACCCCGGCCCACGAAACCCAGGTTTTGCTTGCGTCGGACAGCTCTATGACACAAGTCTTACTAAACCCATGAAGGCTGGTTTTGGACCTTGCTCGTATGTTCTTGAAAATTCTTGACCATCTATTGAACATGTACCAGAATGTAAAAATTAGGACCCATGGTTGTACTGGTACCAAGGGACTTACATCGTTGGTCATGCGCGAAGTCAACTGCCCCGTGTGCATCGTATCGAAGAAGGCGATGTCCATGCGGATGACGCTGGCAAAGAGCTTCATGCGCACGGACATTGCCATGCGTCGCTGGACCAGCTCCTGGGCTAAAGACTTCAAGCCACCTCGGCGTTGCGGCAACCGACGGGTCTCCAGGCTTGCGGTTTTCAAATTTTCCAAGATCTGAACCTTCAGTTTTGGGGCTAACTGGCAACAACAGTTTGATGTCAAACAGAAAAGCTGGAGGAGTTTAGGATCATGGCCACTGGGAGCACCAGCTTTAGCTGAGCGGCTGAATGCACCTTGCAACGCTAACACGATGAGGTAGGTAAAAATGGCACTTTCGAAGCGACCACGCCCTATCTCTGGATGTTGAAGGTATCCAATGATGCTGTCAAAAATCTTTCCTGGCAAAATCATGCAAAATCTGGCCAACCAAAGATCATTTCAGGGAAACAGCTCAAAGTCAGTCCGGAACGCCGCAAACAAATGTCTATGTATACTTAAACATACTTAAACGTTGTTTTCAACATTTTCAACATGCAGCACCATTTTTCTGGGTCGGGCTATCTCTGTGTCCCATCGCATGGTTTTCTCTCCTTGGAGGTTGGGCGCTGCGATCTGCAAACTCTGTGTGGTTACCAGGGCAACGACTGCTGCAACCAGGGTGGGCCAGAAATCCATCGCCAGCTCCCTGGAGGTTCACCAATGTTTCTGAATCGATTGGATATGCCGATGCTGTTATGAATATACAGTAAAATAATAATAATTATTATTATTATATATATATATGATGCAGCCCTCCCAGGTCACCCCCCTCCCCCCCAATGGGTATGGGTATACAGGAGCTATGTTCCCCGCCCCCCCTGTGGGTGGGTGGGGGGGGTGGTGATGGTGCTGGTGCTGGTGCTGGTGCTGGTGCTGCTGCTGCTGCTGCTGGTGGTGGTGGTGGTGGTGGTGGTGGTTGTTGTTGTTGTTGTTGTTAGTCGTAGTGAGTAGTAGCTAGTAGCTAGTAGCTAGTAGCTAGTAGCTAGTAGCTAGTAGCTAGTAGCTAGTAGCTAGTAGCTAGTAGCTAGAGTAGCTAGAGTAGCTAGAGTATCTAGTAGTAGGAATGGGTATGGGTATGGATATACAGGAGCTATGTTCCCCGCCCCCCCGTGGGTGGGTAGAGGGGTGGGTGGGTGGGTTAGTAGTAGTTAGTAGTATGTAGTAGTGAGAAGTAGTTAGTAGTAGGAATGGGTATGGATATACAGGAGCTATGTTCCCCGCCCCCCTTGTGGTGTGGTGGGGGTGTGGTACTGCGTATATTATATATATATATGTAAATATGTGTGTGTATATAATATATACACATGATTATATATATATATATGTTTTTCTGTATATACATATATACATATATATATATACATATGCTTATATGTACATATATATATATATATATATGCTTATATGTACATATATATATATATATGTGAATATAGGTATGTGTATATATATATATATATATTATATATATATGAATATTTAAATACGAATATGTGTATATATATATATGTATCTATAACATGCAAATAAATAAATAAATAAATATATATATATATAGGAAGTAGATGCGCATGTATATATGACTATAGGTAGCACGTAGGTACTTTGAGGGAGTATGTGTGCTACGTAGGTCGTCTAAAAGGTAGCATGTACCTTGTAAATGCGAGGCTTGTAGTCAGAATCGCTGCAAAAACCTAGCAAATACGAGGCTGGACCTCAGAAATGCTGCCAATAGCCTGCAAACAGAAGGGAAGGGGGGTGCTACCTGGGGACCCATCCCATTGGGGGGGGGGGACCTCGCGGTCGGAAGGCGGGATCATATATATATATATATATATGTATATACCATGTAATATATAATTATATAATAATATTATATTTTATATATATTACAAGCAAGAATTCAGAATCGAACGTATTCTGAAGTGTGGCACTGTGAAGTTTACTGCAGTACAAACGCTTGAATGTGACGTACGATTTTCAACATTGCATCTTGTCGACATCTGACAAGGTACACGATTCGCTTGAAGTATGTCCTCAGTGCGAATGAAAACTGGGCAGAACCCATGAGGATCCATTTTGAGAGTGTTCAGATCAGTCCAACGTCTGCGAGACTTGCTGCAACATCTTCAAATCCAAATCGCACCAAGACCCAAATTTCCAAACTGCACAGCGGGGCTACAACTGCCAAGTATGCTTCACTGAGGGATTGTGGATTCATTCCCTGGTAAGTTTTCACATGGCTGACATAGCGAAAATCACAATCTTTAAATATGTTGAATAGATTCATAGATATGAATAGGTAAATCATGGAGCACTTTATCTGGTTGGTGGTTGACCTATGTTGACCCATGTTGACCTACCCCTCTAAAAAATAAAAAAAAATCAGTTCCAAACCACCAACCAGTCGCCAAGGCTCCAAGTGGTGATTTGTTCGCCATCTCCCCGGAGGGATCGGGCGCCAAAGCCACGCGCGCTGGACTTGTCTTTCCTCCGTGTGCTTTACGAAAAAAGCGCTGTTGGAGGCAGAAACCAAGGCTAGAGTGGATGCATCATTCATCATCCATAATCATCATCATCATCATCATCATCAAAGGAGCCAAATGGGTGATACTAGTAATGTCACTGTGTGGGCTGGTTGAGGTGGAGTTGACCGGCAGTGACCGGCAGTGACCCATGGGGAGATGTCCCAGGATTGAGCCAAGATTCTCATAGATGGCTGGTAAAGACTATGAAAGATCGGTGAAGGCAAAAATACACGTAAAAATTAATCATCCCCAAATGCTAGGTTTATTATTGGGTTTATTAATGGGTTGACCACATTAGTCACATTAGTCAATTTGTATAATTAATAAATTAATAATAACCATTTCTTTTCTTCAATATCCCATTTCACCAGGACCATCCAGGAATCTCTGGCTTCCAACCTCTGTGGACTAAGTCTCTGCCGGTAACATCTGGGACACAAATCAAAATCGCAGGTGCGACAACGGTAGGCCACGTAGTGCGGGCCCTGCGGGCAAAAAATGTGCAAAAACGACTGGAAAAAGGAATGGAAACACGTCATCGGATGATCATGGTTATCATCTCATTTGGGCGTCGCGTTGGACATCGTTGGACCGTCGGAGCATGGTTTTTCGGACCTTCATCTGATCGCTGCAAATATCGCATTGATGACACTTGAGCCCCGTCTCAAAGAAAAGTGGGTGCATATGGATGTGAGGGATCGACCTCAAGGTACACCAGGATGATCCAGGATGCAACTGCTAAAGTGCTGAAGAAACATGCTTGGAATCGCTTGGAACCGATGTAGAGACTCATTGCGGCCAAGAGACTCGCCTTGCTCCTCGGTGTACTTGTTGAGTATGTTCTTCAACATGAAGTATTCCTGAGGTCACAAGAAGCACTTTGCCATGTCTGCCAGGATCGGTGGACGATCTTTCGCACACATCTGACAGCTGTTCACCAAGGCATGTTCTTCATGTTCTGTTCAGTAATTGTCACAGTGACTGGCCTTTGATTCCTTGGCAGCAAATTGCCGCTACCTCCATGCCAAGATTCCGCATTGATCATAACCATCGTAAACGCCTGGAGAGTCCCCTGCAGAACCAAATATCTGGGGTCGTAGTGATACACAATGCACTTGATGCCGTTGTAGAAGGACATGCCTCACAGGAATTTAATGGAACAGTGCGGTTCATGATGTTCATGTGTCAAATGTTCAAACTCTTTCGACACTGTCAAAGCTCTTGAGAGACCTCCAGAAATGTATCATTTATGGATTGTCAGATTCAAAGCATGCATTCGTCGTGGTTCCAGCCACCCCATTGTCCAATTGTCCATCCGACAAGAAAATCAATGAAAATCATACATATATTATTTGTGTGAGGCCTCCATGTAAATACAAGGCCAGCTGATTCTTGCTGCAGTTCCTACTTCCACGCGGCAGGGAAATGGGCTGCAACCACCCTTTGGTCACGTCCACACCTGTACTGATTGCAAAGAGGAAGATCATGATCGCTTCTTTTCGTACGTCAGCCTTCCTTGCAGAACGATGACTTTCGGAATATTCATTTGGAGCCTACTTCCTGGTCAATATTGCCCTCAGCGGCATCCATGCAAAACTATTCCAAAACCAGTTCTGAAACATTTGAATCCTAGCTTTGTTGAAGCCTGACAACACGCTGGATGAGAGCCTACACAAAATCACAAGATATTTCCAGCTCAGCTTCTTCATTAACAAGGCATGATCTCGATTCATCAGAAACATATCCTCAGCTGACCATGCGAACTGCTCTGTTGTCTTGCATGCGCAGTGGCTTCCGGGTGCTAAACCATGCAAGAATATGCAGGTTCAAAGAAAATAATATCAGATGTCTGAATCGTTGGATATACATTTCTGCTGGTTCAAAGCCTTTAAGCAGCGAATTTCCAGAGTCCAGCGAGGGAACAGGTTGTTGAATCGAAGACCTTCCCGTAGCTGCATCCCTGAGGTCAAAGCATGCGAGCTCGTAATGCTGGAAGTGACACCTCAGAACCCCAAAAAACACCGCGACTGACAAATAGCTCGACACAACTGCATAACAAAATGTGATGGCTAGGGTTCCAACGGGTTCAACTGTGTTCCCAACTGAGTTCCTTTTAAACTAGTTCATGTGAAGAGTGGAGACTCTCGAGAACAAGCCAGACACATCCAGGCACCATCGGATCTAAGAGCGGAACTGTTTCCGCCGTTCATGGTTTGCATAGGAACAGAGCCCTGGCGACTCTGTTGCCATCGTTGAGGCTATGGGTGTCAGGTTGAATGGCCTGTATTCGTGACCCAGAGAAATATACACAGAGGTAGGTGTGAGTCCATGTTCTTAAAGAATTGTTCTGTACTTTTCTCAACATGTGTTCCTTTCGAAAAGACAGGTTCTATTGATCCAACCGCATAGAACTTTTCCCCATAACGACGCCAGGCCTCTGCCAAAGGCACTCGTAGGTCATTGCCATTGCCATTTCCTGGTGGCGATTCAGCAGCTGCCTCTGCCTAGTCGAAAGCAACGCTCGGGAAAGGAATGTTCGCAGATGACAATATGTCCTCGGTTTATCTTTGGCCATTGGTTGGCTTACTCCAGAATATGGATGTGTCTGAAAACCGGCTTTAAATCAGGGAAAAAAAAAACATCTTATGGCCAATGTTCCAAAGGGAAGACCTTTCAGTAATCAAACATGGCAATGGAGAATCCATTATATTAATTATATTAATTTTATATATGTCCAGATGATTTTCCCATTAAAGTCATGAAAGCATCTATAGGGGATTTCCCAGCCACGCCAATGGATTTAGAGGTCTCCTACTTTTGGACGGTCACAACGCGCAGCTGCGCAACGGCTTCCGTTCCGCGCCTCTTGCGCCTGCTGAAATTTCCTCAAAGGCGACTGGGCCTCGCCACGGGCGAGAACCCGCCGGGCGTCGCAGGACATGCAGGACAATTTCAACAGAGCCTTTTTGAATAAAGTTGTAGAATTCGGATGGAGTGAGATTAGCGGGCAGATATCATAATGACATAATGTCATATCTACAATATATATATATATATGATTATATATGATATATATTTGTTGTAGTAGTCTATGATAGTCTATGCAACTCAACTCTTTTGTCTTCCGGAATTCACAAGACCATGTTGCAGGGCCTGAAGCAGCGTTGATGGCAGTGTTGTTTAGAACTTTGGTCACCGACACTGACATCAATGACATGCCCATCGCCTCTGTGCTGCGATACACCAAGAGAGCACAAAGGGTCAAAGCGGGAAAGACCTGGATGCGGGTGCCGAACGCAGCCAGATGCAGGAAGGGTCACAGATACAATGGGGTACAGTATCTATCATTATCTATCTATCGATCCATCTATCCGTCCGTCCATCTTTACATATATATATATATATATATATATATCATATCATATGTATATATATATAGTATCGGTTTCTATCATATATTGTACTATATTATGGCAATATTGATGGGAATATTAATGGACATATGATATATATATAATATATAATAGGATGTTCTATTGATATCTATTGATCGGGCTATTCCTGGTCCCAATTGTAGATTAGCACATCCAATTCAACCTGGGATCCGGACAACCAAGCGCACTAGGTAGCACGTCAATGTATCAGATGTCACCTGAGTGTTAGCAGTGCCACAGGATTCACAGGATGCTCATGAATTGTCAGTTCGTCCGATTGAAGAGGCATCTCGGACACTTTGTTTTGATTTCAAGGCCGGATTGTTCTGCATGTAAAGAAAGGTAGGAACTCCCAGATCGACATCTGACGGTGTCTGAAATCTCTGCACTACATCAACTACACCCTTGATCGCCAATGTCACCTGAGCCTGGATCTGGGTGCCGAATATGAACTATCGCCAATCGGAGATCATCATTCATCATCTCACATATTATGTGGTTGTAACAAGCCAGGCATCTGAACAGTATTTCATCATTTTGGGATGATTCCTCCCATTTTTCCATATTTTTCCCCAACATCCCCAAGCCTTTCCAGCTCTGCTTCAGGGCACAGTCTCATAGGCACTGGCTGCTTGATCTGTTTGGGACACACTGCCCAAGTGAAAGTCCGAGAGAGCGATGATCAAGTCCACCAGAAAAACCTGAATTTCGCTGGAGAAATGCTACAGGAAGCCCTGAACTTACTTGCTTCCAAGTCGTTGATCATCTGTAATAAAGGCCAACTATGTGTATAAATATGATTAAATATGAATATTATGATTAATTATAACGTATGATGATGGATGATGGAATGATGGATTGATTGATTGATTGATTGATGGATGGATGGATGGAGAATGATGATGATGATGATGATGATGATGGTGATGATGATGATGATGATGATGACGACGAGGATGAGGATGAGGAGGAGGATGAGGAGGAGGAGGAGGAGGAGGATGAGGATGAGGTTGGTTGATCATCATCATCATCATCATCATCATCATCACCTTGTGGCGAGGCAAGTCTACCAGGGCTGCTTACCCGGCTTGACCTAATATTATACAAGCCACAGCTACTTGGATACCTCGACTCCCAATTTTCATCTGCAAATATCGTCAAAATAACCCATGTTTTCTGCCAAGTGGCAGAGACTATGAACAGCAGTGAAGATCTGCGGGACAACTTCATCGCAGTCCTGTGGCTGACGGTCTGCCAAAAATCTTCCGTGCAAAAAGCCACAGCAATCGCAAGGAAGGTGTCACACAACGTATGAAGGTGTCCATAAATGGGGGTACACCAATAGCTGGATGGTTTATAGTGGAAGATCCGAAAATAAATTTAATGATTTTGGGGTACCCCCATTTTAGGACACCTACATATCATTTCAGCATGTCACTTCGGAATGGGTCTGTCCAATTGTGTGTGTGCGTGTTTTATTTCGAAAAAATGCAGTTTGAATTTGAGATATGTACGCTGGCATGGTGTCCTTGTACCTCAAATTCACACAAAATTATATACAGTAAAGTTGCTACACATGGATTCCTGGGAACTTCAGCCAGATGATCATGCTGTTAAAGTTCTTATCGGTGAACGAACCCCCAGGATTTTGCGATGGCCTTTCTGACCACCAAAACGAATTGGCTGGGCGTATTGGAAAAGGGCCACAGCGGCTGCGTTCGTTCTGATCGAAGTCAAGTCAAAAATGATCATGCACAATTCTTAGTAATATGGAAAATACCTGAAAATACATGAAGATGGCCTGTAATGTCAGAAGGGAAGCTTTTGCATGCTTTGACAGTCTGATGCGATAAACCTCCTACGGCTTTCACCATCTTTCACCTGCCTTTTTCCAGGCTGCAAAGAGTATTGAAGCACTGGGTCATGCGTAAGATCTCCTTTCTTTCTATCCATTAAAGCATGCTAGTGGTCCAGAACAGGCTCTGAAAATGCTCTTCTCCGAGCTTTAATGCGAGTTGATGTACTGCTGCGTTTCGGATAGCTTTCTTACAAAAAGACCAAACATATCTGCTTCACTCATTCTGCATGCAAGACTCATCGCACTGCATACGCATTTTCCTGGCTCTGGTTGCAAAAAGACCTCCAGTTGACCTATGTTTGGTCTGAGCCAACTTTCATCCACAGTTGCGACCTTTGGTCAAACTGGGGTACTCGAAAGCCTTTAGGTGTGGGTGTAGGGTGGGCTTTCAATTTGAGCCCCCACAGCTACATGCAGTATCGCTATGCTGCTATGTTCCATCGCACAAATGTGCTACCCAACATATCTGCTTCACTCATTCTGCATGCAAGACTCATCGCACTGCATACGCATTTTTCCTGGCTCTGGTTGCAAAAAGACCTCCAGTTGACCTATGTTTGGTCTGAGCCAACTTTCATCCGCACTGGCTCTCCAAATCCACCTTGACAGTGCGAGGAGGTGAAGTATTGTGCAGCTGGAGTTGAAGCAGATCATCCACCGCTGTGGTATGAGCATATGTTTCATCTGTTGCCACTCGATACAAAATCGTGAAAAGGCCTTGCAAGCAGAGTGAATGTTCCTCAGCTTGTAGTGAGATCATGTCATAAAATTTGTGACGCGACACGGCATCACTCATGTTATCAGCCGATGCAACCCATTCGAGGTTGAGGTGCCAACCCATCTTGGCTATGAAGCGCCAGCAAACCGCTACCATATTGCAAATGGCAGGATCCTTGCAGTAGCCTTTCTGCAAGGCAAAGAGTCCCGAAGTGTTGTCAATGTATGAGGTCACCAAAATTACATCGAAGGACTTCAGTGCCAAAAAGCCAATGAGCTGTGCAGCAATCTCAAGGAAATAAATGTATGCTTTGCGAGTGCAAAACCGCTGAATAAGAAATGGCGGCAGTCTGCCCGCAGCAAAGTATGTGCGGTGGTCAAAGTGCAACACGTAGCCCCAACCATTCTCAAAGTTCGGACACCTCTTCGGTTGCCATTTGCTGGGAATGTTGTTGGAACCTATTTGGTGTTTGACACCGTTCATCACGAAATAAGCATCAGTGTAAAGAACTGCTGTCTTCCGATGTACATTCCGTGGAATCTGTCGTGGTTGAACATCTGACAACAAGGAGTGAAGAGTGCGAAGAGCTGCTCGCAAAGGATGGTTGAGTTGGTATCCTTTGTCATCTAGAGCCAGGCCATGAGCTCGTGCATATAATGGTTGCAATGCTGCTCGGCCTAGTTGTCCAAACATGGTTGAAGCAAGGAAATTCATCTTCCCTGCTATGTGTTGGGCCTCCTCATTGGTCAGGTGGTTGGCTCGCAAAATTCGTTGGAGCGAAGCCATCATTTTTGCGCAACGGTCTGGGTGTGGGCGCAACACGATCTGAGATGGTTCAATTTCCATCAAGATGCCCAAAACCTTCTGCTTGGGTTGCGGTGCCAATGCCTTGGCCTCTTTCATTCTCAAGCCAAGCGCTCGTGTGAGGGCTGTGAACTGTTCAAAGCCGCTGACAACCAAGTGGCCCGGTTCAATTCCAATGAAGTCATCAACGTAGTGTCCCACTGAAACTGCCAGAAGTCTCCTGCATAGGAACATCAAGCTGTCGGCTGCTCTGTTGAAGTTCCAGACGGAGCTGGCTGCTCCGAACATCATGGCATGGTGTCTCAAAATGAGGGCACCGTCTGGCGTCATCAGGACGCAGAAGCAATCATTGGGTTCGCGGACTGGAAATTGCCGATATGCTCCAGCCAAGTCTTGAGCCCATATGGATGACAAATCAGTCATCGTAGCTTGGGCCCTGGCCAAATTGACAAATGAGGCAATGTCATGGTGGTATGGCACATCCTTGGCCAAAATGGTGCCATTGTGCCCGCTGCGTCGAAAATCTTCACATCTGCGAACCTTGTCCGTCTGCCGAACAGAAAAAGAAAAAGCAAAGCAAGCCTCTTCGCATGGCAGAGAGAGCAACTCACGACCTGGGAGACTTCGGGATGGAAAGGGCCACCAACTAGGAGCCTTGTACGGGCCGCTCATGCGCCCTTTGTCAAGCTCTTTGATGAGCTCTGTCAGCATGGTCTGCCATTCCGGGTCAACCCGTTGACTACGTAGTTTTGTCATCGTGTAGTTCTTGTTGTGGCGTTTGAAGGCAGCAGTGTCTATGGGATGGTCATACCTCCCATCTGTGCGTGGCAGCCAGCCTGAGCCGGAGTTCAAAGTCCCCAACATGGCAAAGCCTTGTGTCAAGTCTTTTTCCAGAATTGCAAGATCCGGCATGCCCACCAGTTGAAGCAACTGCAGCAAGATGGGAATCTGAGCGATCTGGTCATTGTCCTTGTCATAGTAGACCTGTGCCACATGAGGCGGCAGTGACTGCCACCATTGCATCGTGTCTGCGGTTGCATCTTCAATCATCTGTTGGACTTCTTGGACCACTTCACAACGAAGGCGCGATAAACTGCCTCCGATCAAGACCTGGAGATCTAAACATTGTTGCCAACCCGGTTCCAAACGAGGTGGTTGCATCAGTGGGTGTGGTGTGTCAATGGCCATGCGCCAGTGATCCCAGTGATCTGACATCTTCGGTGTACTTGCCGGTTGCAGTGGCCAGTTGCCCGGGCCCAATGCTGGTGGAAAAGGTTCCAAGTACCCTACCATGATTTGCAACGCAGACCGCTGAGGTGAGGGCGGTATCGCGGCTCGAGGTAGCAGAAGAACGGCTTGCAGCACTAACATGAACATGAACTTGGCTGTACCTACATGCCAACCGTTGGCTATCAGTCTGTGGCGGCTTCGCTCATTGACTGTGCCGATCTTCGTGTATGTCATTGGAAGTTGGTGCAATTGCTCCTTCACCTCTGCAGTTGGCACCGAGTAGGAGCCGTCAGGACCGCGAGTCAAAGCTTCATCAGCATATTGCCAGGGGGCAAATGTTCTGTCATCACTAATCCACCTGGCCCGCTCCTGTGGTGACATGCGGCCCCTCAATCTTTTGGGCGCTGGCCTGCCCCCTTCCTGAGGGGCTGGCGTGGTAAAGCACGGCACTCGCGCCTTGTGTTCCACCACACTCTGGCAAAGTTGTTGATCTCCAAGGTCCAGTTCATGAGCTTCTTGGAGAGGGCCATCTTGGTGTAGACGATGGTGTTTGTCGCGTTTGCTCCATCGTAGTGGTCGACCTGTGACAGGGCTGTTGCGCAACTTGGACCAAGGGATCCGAGTCCACCAAAGTCTCGGGCGATTGATCAAGCCAAGATCTGAACTGTCGCAAATCACTGCCTGACAATCCAGGCGAGCTGAAAAGTGATCCGCCTCCTCCTTTTTCATGATGACATTCTCCGTGAGATAGCCCACACGTAGGTGAGGTATTGCCATCTCAATCTTATTGCAGAAGGCACAGAAGGCGGTGAATTTTTGGCCTTCCTGACCACGGGCTCCAGGAGCGTCCTCGACAATACAACTAAAAGTCTGGGCATGGCGGAGCTCCCACAAACAGTATGATGAAAGATCCAGATGGATCAAACTGTTTGATCACGTCGGCAACCTGTTGAGGATCATCCTTCAGAAAGTCTCCTCGGAGCTGCGCAGAAGGATGATGGTGCCCAAGAACTTGAAGACAATCTGAATCAATCTCCCACACGATGTGCAGCGCCAAACCTGCAGTCAACTCCTTCAAAATCAAAGCCGGTGTTCCAATGCCATCAAAGCAACTCAAAAGAATGACCTGTTCATCAATTGGTTGAAAAAGATCGGATCCTGACGCCCGCTGGTCAGATGAAAAGGTGAGGGACTCAACAACTTTGTCGGGTCTCCCAGGATCCCTCTGTCCCGAGATACCGAGCTGTCCCTATTTCTTCGGCTCTGTCTTCCAATCACCCTGCCAGGCATCCCGGTTCCATGTCTGTTGCTTGTCTTCCGGAGATGGCATGGAGCGTGGTGAAGACCGGTCAAGGCGGTCTGCGTACTGAGACCAAGGCTTGTTGTAGCCACTGGAGTTGCGCTGGTATGGTGCATAGCGGCTGTTCTTGCCCCCTTTGCTGTTGCCTTTGCCTCGACCCTTGGAGTCCGAAGTGGGCCTGGTAGGTGTCGTAACCCTCTTGACCGTTGAGCTCGGCTCTCTTGCCATGCACTCTGAGAAGGCATCAAAGTCTCTCATCAAACTGGGTGTCGCTTCATCAAACGTGCGACCTGCCCGCATCTCCATTGCCAAACGCCAGCTCGTAGACAACCAGAATTGGCTGAACTGGTCGGTCTTCTGCGGCCGACTGCGAGCCAGTCGTGTGAGCCATTGGAAAAAGGTCTCAATGGCCTGTTCTGACCCCACATGCACAATGTATAGGCCCAACGAATCGAAGTGAGCCCATCCAAAATGGCCAGAATGGACCGTGGCTGCCATGGTTCATCGGCCGTCTCAACCAAAGATCCACCAGTCAGCTGAAGTTTGGTGGTTGCTCGATCCTTCTTGGCCAGAGGATTTGGTTCTCCGGTTGGAAGAAAGGTCCGCAAGGAGATCAACTCCCCCAATTGGATGGGGGTGTAGAGCTTGGAGTTCTCGTGCTCGTGCAGCACTCGAGCCAACACCGCTTCTGTGCCTAACAACTCCTGCACCGGAAAAATCCGGTCCCTGCCTCCGATTTGTTGCGATTGGTATGCTGCAAGAAGTGAAGTCCATCTGCCAGGAGCTAAGGTCTTGGGTATCTTATCATCAGCAGGTGTAGCTCCAGAAGGGCTGGCCGTTGTGGTAGTTGAGGTGACTGGGGCCGTCACCGTCATCTGTTTGCGCCAATGCTGGCGAGCCACTTGCCACATGTGTAAAAACACTGCTCGCGCTATCGGTTTCTCAGAGTCTCCAACTTGTAGGATAGAGCCATCATCACGCTTCCACCCTGACAGAAAAGGCTGAATGAGCACGCGGTCAAGGTCAGCATCATCTGTGGCTAACAGGGCCAGTGTGGCTGCTGTTTTCACTCCACGGAGCTTGAGGTACTCCACCAACAGCGCATCTGCAGCTGCATCATTGGCAATGTCCAAAAGCGACGGCTGCCCATTCGAGAGCGTCATGGTGCGAGAAATGGCGGCGGCTGGATCTATGAGCCAGCGCAAACATGATACTGTCCACGTGACAACGTGAAAGGATTCCGGTGGACCCGGCCTTTATACCTGAACTCACATGCGGAGAAGCATCAACAAAGAGACAAGATCAATCACAAGAAAACCAATCAACAAAAAGCAACTACCAAATGACATGAACGCTGTTCCTGACCTTTATGCCTTCTGAAACAGTGACCGACTGCAAAACCCCCAATCCGTTTTTCTCTGTCGATGCGCCACCGCCTGCTGGGTGTCAGAACTCGTCATCCTCCTGTGACGAGTCCTCAAGACCAGTAATGTCGGAACTCTCACTCGAGTCCGAACTGGAGCTATCCCCTAGATCGAAGCACTTGCGGCACTTGCGTGTGCCATCTTGGACGCATTGTGTCCGAAGAAATGTGCTTGTGCCATAGGCCTATCCGCAGCTTGTTCTCCAAGTGTTGGGCTCATTGGTGCTCTCAAACCTCGATGCGCGATGGAGAATCTTGGCTCGGGGACGAAACACAAACGTCTCATCTGGTGGGGCTATGGCTTCTCTCAGCTGCTGAAGTTCTGCTCGTAGACCTCGTTCGGCTGAAGCAGCAGCCTTGGGCCTTGCAGTGACCAATCTGGCCGGTGTGCCAGGAACCGGTCCTGGAGTCATTGGAGCGCTGGATGCAGCATCGATCCGAACCTCCACACGGTTCGATGTCTCCTCCGGACGAAGGACCTGGTTGGGTATCTGTGGCACCCTAACCAGGGCACTGTCTTGTGTGTATCTCAAAACCGAAGAGCTCGTCCACCGTCCAAGGAGCTGAATGAGTGACAACTCCACTCCAGCTGCAGACAACATTTGAGCCCCCGTCACTCTCAAACAGTGCCCATGAAAACGTTGAATTGGTACGCCCAGTGGTCCTTCACGTACCACCGGAGTTCCAGTGGCTGCAATCACCATTCGGAATGAGGAGATGAACTGCTGTTTGGCGGCTATATGACCGTCTGGATCAGGAAATAAAGGAAAACTGTTCATCTGTGCTCGTCCTGGGAAAGCCTCTAGCCTCATCAGATGGCGTTCGGCCGCATGCCAGGCACACATGTTGTGCGCAGTGGTGCCACAAGAGCAGCTCAACGTCCGCTGTGTGAATTTCCCGTGAGGATCCGTCTTGTGTAATGGGACTGTGAGGCTGACTTCATTGCCATTCAATTGTAAATCCCCAGCTCGGGAATTTGCCATCTCAACTTCACGCAGCATATACCAAAGCCCGATCACTACCATGTCTCTGCAATGACGAATGTTGTCAAAGGAGAAAGCCTCAGCATCATCGGAAGGCTGAATAGAGCCCACCAGCATGCCATTGAAGGAATCTTTCAGTTGGCTGACACCCAGCCCCCGCAGCACTGACCGAATACAGTCTTTGATGCATTGGCGCACCATGGTAGGAATCTCAGTGCGCAAAACGCGCTGTTGGTAACCACAGATTGCTTGGTAGTATACCTGGACGCTCCTGTAGTGACCAGCCTTGAGCGAGGCTCCAAAACACCTGACATTGGTGGTATTCAAGGGCCATGCTGTCACCTCCCACGCCCTGCACACCGCAAGGTATGTGCGAACTCTGGCATCGTTCGCCGGGTTCGTTGTCTTGCTGAGGATATCTGCATCCAGGAGCTGCAAGGATCGCTGTCGTTGGTTAGGAGCTGCTGCCTCCAGAGCGGCCTGGATATTGGCACGTTTGCCAACCACGATACCAGGAACATCACCACGTGATTGAAAGCCTGTAGATCCTTCGACAGATGCCTCGGCCGACTGCGAGGATGTCGCCAAAATGGCTTCAAATTGCCAACGGCGTAGCCCTGCTGCCGCCAGAGGCTCATAGCTCAATGCCAGCTGATTGATGCTACGGATGCCATGCTGCACAAGGAGTGGTGCGGTCTCCTGGAGACCTGCTTTTCGCAGTGTCTCCCAAAGCTCATTGAGGCTTGACATCTGTCATAAACATACATTACATTTGTCAAGCGCAACAAGACATCCAAGGAAAAAACATCAAATGGAATGCTGTACTGTACTGCAACGAAATCAAATGCCAGCTCATGACCAAAATGTGATGAAATATAATGAAACGATATCCACGAAATAATGCAATGATTGAGTGCCCAAAGACAGCGGCCGCAATGATCAGCATCAATCCAACTTGACTGACATGCAACTAGAGAGGAGGGCGATGAGCCCAAGATAGGAGAATGGCCAGAAAAATGGGGGCTTACTCTCAACCAACGACCGACACAAAACAACAAATGTTTTCAAAGCCACAGGTTCAAAGCAGCTAGGCAACTTGGTGTGCCAACCAATACGAGCCAGACCGCTATCAGAAATGTTCAAAAAGTCAGCCCGATTGTATAGAGCACCTCAAACTGGTTGTCATAGTGCAGCTACGAGCCGCAGCGCCGCTTCAAGGTGACATCAGGAGGTCATCCCTCTCTCCGTCTGGGACCCCACGGCCTGAACTGACCATCGTGGCGCGTTCAACGATAGCCTGTTGAATCTCAATCTGAAGGTTGCGCAGCCAATACACAATCATCTCCAGGGGTGGCCATGGGTCGAAGTATTGGATCTCCTCAATGCAATGGATCATGGCATGTAGGCGGCGATCAAGTTGTACTCCATGAAGTGGAGCCAGGTCAAGGCGCCAACGGACAATCTCAGCTTTAGAGCGATGGAGATCTTCACGTAACTGTTCGGTCTCCCGCTGGATATCAGCGTGGCCAGGTCGATCATGGCCTTCGCCCACGACTGTGTCGAGAGGTGCCTCGACCATGGCGCTCATCGCCTCTGATGTCAGTGGGGCCAAATCAATTGACAAGGTGACCAGAACAGGCAATAGCTGCCTAAACGGAGCCTGGGGATAGCGCAAGAAACTTTCAAGGGCTGCACTGAAAGCCAGCAGCGTCAGCAGGACAATAGGAGAGTCCGAGTGCTCTGGCAGCACCACGTTCCTTGCCCTCTGGCTGTCATGCGCCAAGATCACCAACCAGCTCGCAAGCGCCGAAACCATGGCGCAAAAATTACAGGTCACCTTTCAATTTGAGCCCCCACAGCTACATGCAGTATCGCTATGCTGCTATGTTCCATCGCACAAATGTGCTACCCAACAAAGTAGATGTGTTTCCTGCAAAGCAGCTTGCTTCCTGCAGAGAAGCATCTATTTTCTACAGCGACCATCTTGAAAGCGACGCTTTTCTTTGCAGGACTTGAGTGAAACAAAGCCTTCTGAAAACTCAGATCAGGACTGCACGTATACAGTTGCGGGACAGAATTGCGAAGAATTCTAAGTATCGTTTTGGTGCGCCAACAGCGCCAAGTTGTGAAATCGCCACCACTCAGCCACTGCCATGTCTCCCTACGCACGCAGAAGTAGGTCTCGCCTGGCAATCCGCCAATCGACATAGGGATTTTCCAGCCACTTTCAAATACTGGATCCAAAGGCTATCACTGTATCACTGCCCACTTTTTTTGTGATTTGTGGCAAGAGTGATACGAAATGAGACGGAAAAAGGACCCATTGGCTGATGAAAAAGGCCAGAACACGGCTGACTCCGTGAATCTCAGGCCTTTGGCGCGCTCACCTCCGTCGATGTCTTCGGCTCATTTCGGCCTGTCATGAGGGAAGTCTGGGTGGGAAAACACTGCTGTCAGGAAAAACCGCATTTATGTTGTCATTTCTTGATCTGATCTTAAAGCCAGAAAATATATCATACATCATACTGATTCATACTGTATGCATATTCATTCCCACTTCATGAGTTCATCCCCTCTCCAGGCTCTTCTGTTCTTTTTGGTGGCAATGTGGCTATCCATGTTCCAATTGCATTCAGAAAAAACAGTCATGTTACACCAATCTGAATCCAATCTGCCCCACTGCACCTTGAAATCCTTGAAGTTCACTCAGCTTTTCATTCGCCCAAAGCTTGAGATCAGTGGGCAACGAACCACGAGCAAAGGTCTTGTGACCTGGGGGGAATCAATCTGGATCATGCCAGATAGGCTTGAAAAAAAAAAAAAAAATCATGGAAAAATACGTGATGATGGTTGACCAACAAAAGCTATCCTTCAAAAGAAAGAAACACACAAATTGTGGAATGTGGCAGCAAAAACCATGCTCTGCCAACCCTTCGGCAAGGGACCCTCCACATCACCTTCGTCCTCAGACTCCAAGTCATCACCCCATGCTGATGTAGTCTTCAGCTTCCATTTCACCAATGACTGCATCAAAGCATTTCTCAGATCTTCTGTCTGCCTTAGTGGAGGCCCAAAACAACACGGGGAAACTGAGGTGGACACCTTTTAGGGCTGCAACTGGTGTGTGGCGACATCAAGTTCTAGAAGCATCAAAGCATCAGCCATGACCCTGAAGCCTTAGAGGTGTTAGAGGCAAGGGGAAAGGCAGGGTGTATGTCACCTCTTCCATTCCAATGTAGGTTTTCAACCGTGCATCCAAAAAATATCATGGAAATTCCATCAAAGCTGGGAAAAAACGACAGGTTTTGCAGATCCCAGGTGCGCTTGAGACTCCTGCCTCAGTGCGTGGAGGATTTGACGATTTTGAAGTTGTCTCCTGGAACCTTTGAGGCCGCAGAAAGCTGCGCGAAAGCTTCATTTTTCACAACGCATCACAGATATCGTGGAGTTATGCAACGTACCCTTGCTGAATCCGAACGAGTAATTGGGAGTGTTGTCCCCAGGATGTAGATTTATGGCATAGTTTCGAAGCTCATGAGAGATGAACCCAAGATGCATCCAGTCATAAAAATTTGCAGAAAATCATCAGAACTGCAGCCCAAACGGTTGCTCAGTGTTCGCCAAAGGAACGAACCAAAGCTTCTTGTCGAACTTCTAGCCACTGGAATGAGTTCCGCAAGGATGTCCTCAATTGCAATGCTCATGGCAGCATGTCCCAGATATTACAAGACCATCCTTGCTGACACTGAAGATGTTGTGATACTCTTTTTCCAAGCGATAAGTGGGTTTATAAGCACTAACTATAGATATCTATAGACGATAAGTCTTATGTAGAAACCCATATATATATATATATATTTACATAGTGCCAAATCCTTTACCGCAGGACGGCAGTGCACCCTGGTCCAAGGTGGGACCGGACCTTCTCAAAAACGTCATGGTCAGTATCCACCAGCGGCTGGGCATTTTGTCAAATGTTTGGGCACCGAAGAAATATAACATTCTATAACTGTGCATATTGGATTCGTTGATGAATCATCAATCATGATGATTATTAATTCTATAATATCTAATATTGATATGTTGTAGTTCATGATTACATGTGATTACTATATATAAATATAGGTTTTTGATGATAAACATTGAGAAACTCCAAACTGTGATGATTGATCCAGCTCAGTTGTTAGTACAATGATTACTATGAATACTATGGATTGATGATTACATATGATTACCATCAAGTATATACCCTCCTGTAGTCACTAATATCGATGTGTTGTTTATCCACCATATGTAGATCCTTTTCCGAATGGGAGACCATGGTTTCTCCCTGGTTTCTCCACCTGTTTTTTTCTATATTTACCATCAACGAATCCAACCATAACTGGCCAGTGCCACCGCGACTCTGCGCATCCAACAAGGCCCTGAGGTCCAGCTCCGATCTTCGACATTGATTTCTTCGACCAGGCGAAGGCATGACGAGGAGCAGCACAGCTGGGGTGGAACAAGCTGGTTTTTTTACTTCTAAGTGGTTTATGACCCATATCAAACCCATATAAAAACCCATATACAATTTCTATGAGCGGGGATGTGATCAATTAAGATATAATCCACGTATAACTAGGCTAGCAGGAAACTCTTGATTGTCCCTGGAAAATTTCAGGCACATCGACTTGAGCCGGACGGTGTCCTCAGAAGATTTTGGGTATCACCCCTTTGGATTTTTTGACCCATGTTCCATAGTTGACCCAAAATATCCCAAAATAAGACCCTGTAAACGAACAGTTTGCGATTGAAAATGGCCCAGTCGAACTAGTTGATTTACCCATTTTCATAGCATGGTGGATCTTTCCCAGTTCGTTGTTTTTTTTATCGTTTACCAGGCCGGGTAATCCATTGGAATACACAGAAGATCACAGAAATTTCAGACCAAGCCATCCATTGATCCCTGGCACCTCCCAAAATCCGGACATGAGCCAACAAAATCCTAGGAGGGAGCGCGGAGATGTTTGAGGCTTCAAAAAACTTGCACTGTACTATATTATATTGTATACTCTATATATATATAAATATACGTATATACAGTATACTTAATAAGCTATAGTTATTATATTATATATTGTGTACCAATATGGAGGTGTCCTTTCCAAAATGGTGGTCAGCAAAGACTTGGCTGTTGCAATGATAACCGGGGTCCCAGATTTGACATAGTGAAATGCTTTGAGGCACCCTTGGGCAATCAAACATATCAAACATGGCAATTCAAAATCCCTGATTGTTTGAATCCCTTATGAATTGCCATCAAAGAACCAAATGGTAGAATCATCGAACTAACTAAGTCGGGTATGATCCACTGCCATATTTGATTACCGGAGGGGTAGCTCAAGACATTTAAAACCTTTTTCTTGGAACACTTTACTTGCTTGCTTTCAAATCTTTCAAGAAGTTCCAAGCGGGTTTTTTCAAGTCTAAGTCTAAGTTCCCACAATTAATTGTCGAAGTGATGATAAGTGATGGGAAGTCTGAAATGGGGGCGGAAATTCACGGCCCTGCGGCCCCACCAAAAACCATCCGATTCCAGCCTCAAGCGCAGGGCTTGCACATCGCCAAAAATTGCCAAAGTCTGGGTGACTGTTGGAACACGATATGCTCTAAACGACCAGTTATTAGTCGTGGCCTACCCCAGAACCCTGTTTTTTCGACGGGTTTCGAAACTGTCAAAGAAATTGGGCTGAATTCTTCGCTGCGCAAGTCTATTGTAGTGCCACTTGGCTACTTGAAACATCTTAAAACAAGCCCATGGAAAATCCCCAATAGCTGGATGGTTGGAAAATCCAAAAAAAAAGATGATTTAGGGGTACCCCCATTTTGGGAAACCTTCATATTTTCATCCCATGAAGTCATCTGCTTCGAGGCTCTTTTGTTCTCGTGTCCAAAAACCAAAAGCCACTGGCTCACAGATATGCAAAGATAAGCACAGTAAAATGACATTCGGATTCAATATGTTTCCTAGTCATTCCTAGTCCTAATATTGTATAATTATAAATAATTATATATCAGTAGCTGGAAATCCAGTGTAGCACTGTAGCACCCAGCAAAATCTATAGAACTGTGGCTGCACCAAGCTTATGAATTGGCTGACTCCATCTGCGCGCCTTTTCCAGCACATGATCTCAGCCTCCAGACTCGAAGATTCTAAAATCATGGCTAACTAGATACCCTGCATTTTCTTGATGGGTACTTCTGGCAGAAACTCAAGCCATTTCCCAGATTCCAGTTCCCTTCATGGCATGGCGATGAAATTCTCAACAGCGCCTTCCAGCGAATCAAAACAGGGACCGGGGATGGGGCAAGTCCTTGGGACATTGGATGTCAAATCATGTCAATTCATACCAAACCCTTCTAGCTACATCCAGAAACGCTGATTGAAATAATCTTGACATGCATTAAATCTGTTCGTTTGGGGACAGACATGGTGGTGCACAAAAAAGTTCGGGTGAACACATGCAGCCAAAAACAGTGTTTTGTCCTTTCTGCGCTTGTAGCTTGATTCGAAGCCTAAGCGAGACCACGCCGGGTGCGCGTCTCCCTCTGACGGTCTCCAACCGTCCAAGCCTCAAAGAGTGTCGAAGAAATCTCACCATAATTTGGCCCTGCGGCCGTGAGTATAAGTATAAGACTAAAACTTGTGCTGGCATAGGGCAGCATTCAAGAACAAAAGCTGGATCAACCAACATTGTCGGTCATGACCCAGCGACACTGACCATGCAAGTTGAACAGGTAGTCCATCTTTATGTGGACTCTACAAATTCAGCCAAGAAATGTTACAAGACCGCCTATACATCCTATACTCGTCTCTACATGTCTCTACTATACTTGCTTGAATGCCTTCGCAAGAGGTCGGCCAGACAGCATCTTCACACTGTCTCAGATGGCTGCTCAGTGGACTCCGAAACATCTGAAGACTTGGCCTTGGGGTACTGCTTCACGGGGCTGTGGTAGCTCTCACCGTGAGTGTGTTGATCAACACCACCAGCCTCTTGGTCCTCTGGAATGCGCAGCTTCAGCAGCAGCTTCATGACTCCGACAATGATGGCAGTGCCCACAGCAGAGAAAGCCACACCAGCCAGGGCACCGGCAATCTGCTTGCCCAGCAGCAAGAAGCTACCGGTGTAGATGAGGCCATCTTCCACTGCAAAAATGCCGGTCAAGATGGCACCTGCGATGCCACCCGAACCATGCAAGCCGAACGCATCAAGAGTGTCATCCACCAAGTTGATCCTGTTAACAATCTCCACAGTAGCGAAACACCAAGGAGCTCCCAAGGCACCAATTGCGATGCTCCAGCCGGGTGTCACGAAGCCGGCTGCAGGTGTGATGCACACCAGGCCTAGTGCAGTGGATACGTTGTCCCAAACAAAAACCGCCAACATCCGCCAACAATTCTCACAAGCCGCATGCGCTTTGAAGCAAATAAAAGCTACCGTGTACCAGGTGATCATCTCAAAATATGTCTAAAATAGTTTAAAATAAAGATTTAAAAAGTTAAAATGATTCGAATCATTCAAGAGTTGCTGTAAAATAAATCAAATACAGCGGCAAAGGGTAAAGAACTTGCCAAATTTAAGATCTGTGGAAGAACATGCAAGCCGACTTCGATTTAACTTGACTTGAGGCCCCCTGCCTGCAACAGCACCAACAGATGCTCCGACACTGGTAGACTTGCCCTTCAAGATGCGCTCCAGGGCCAACCAGGTCAGCATGGATGAGGCTGAAGCCACGAAAGTGGTGGCCACCGCACGGGCTGCAACTCCATCTGTGACGGACAACGCAGAACCGCCGTTGAATCCCAACCAGCCGAACCAAAGGAGGCAGCCGCCCAAGATCACGAAAGGGACGTTGGCAGGGCCCAAATCCTTCTCCACGTGCCTGCGTGGTCCAAGGATGCCACCGGCAACAAGGCCGGACACGCCGGAGCTGATGTGAACCACAGTTCCACCGGCGAAGTCCAAAGCTCCCATCTCACCAATCCAGCCGCCAGGGCCCCAAACCCAGTGGCACAAAGGTGCGTAGATCAGAAGGGACCACAGAGCAAGCATGATGCAGTAAGCACTGAAACGCATGCGCTCCACCAACGAGCCGGAAATGATTGCAGAAGAAATGATGGCAAAGGTCATCTGGAAGGCAGCGAACACAAGACCTGGAAGACCAGAGTCGCCCCACATCTTCATGTCCAGACCCATCCACAGACTGTAGTCGAAGTTGCCAATGAACATGCCGTTGTCACCGAAGGCCCATGAAAAGCCAAACACCATCCAAGTCAATGTGACGATTCCCATGGAGACCACGCTCATCATCATGGTGTTGATGATGTTGGTGTCACGCACCAGACCACCATAGAAGAAGCCAAGCCCTGCCGTCATCAAGAACACGAATGCCGTTGAGGTCAAGACCCAAGCAACTGCGCCTGGGCTCACGGCATCGTCGGTCAAAGCTGGGTTGGCCATTGCTTTTGGCAGGTTGTGGGAAAAAGCTACAACACTGGCACTGCGCCTTGGAACAAGACTGGCCTGGCTTCGATGCCAACAAATGCGGCGCTCTGCATAACCATGTGATACCATTGAGCAGTTTGTTTGCTGTTTGCCTGCGCCACCCCTACGCAATGCCTACGCCTAGGCAAACACCTGTGCTGAAAAAAGCGTTGATCGCTGGGGATGAAAAAGCGACACCTTCCTTTTGCAACACTCAAACCGTCACCAGCGCCTGCCAAGACCTTCAAAGTCGTGCAGCTGCGTATCAGCGCAGCAAAGTCCCACAGAAACCTGTGCCATAACATGCCAAAATATCAGGAAAGAACTTGGCTCTGCAATGCTCTGCATAACCATTCGATAGCATGTTTGGATCATTAGAAAGATTTTCGGATAAACGGAGCTTCAGTCTAACTTGTGACCCCTTGCAACCCACGGCTACGCGCGAAACATTTTTGGCTGGTTCGCCTCAAACTCGACCAAGCTCTAGTTGGCTTGTTGGCTTGTCATGCCGAGTGCAGCTCAGAAGTTGCACAATGGTCTCCAACCCATCTGCATGGTCTCCAACCTTCTTTGGAAAGTCTCAAGACGGACTCACAAGTGCCGATGAACCAAGAACAAGCAAGATAATATCAAGATAATTAACCAAGTTATACCAAGTTCAAGTTGTCTTCCATGCAAATCCCATCAAATAGCTCCTTACTAGTCCTTACTTGTAGAACCTGCGTCTCAAGACAGTGGCTAAGTGCCTCATGCTGAAAGCTTATGAAAGCTTCTGGCATGCCAAGTGACTGTCCAAGAAGCTCCCAATCTATGCGTAAACATGCAAGTAAAATTGTCCATCCTCGTGGACTGATTGAATTTCGCCAGGCTTTGCCTGGCTCTTGTCGTAGTTTATCGTGTCTGTGTCGTAGGTGAGAACTCATTAATCATTGGCTCTATGTTAGCTCCATATGAGCTCTAACTCTATATATTATGCTCTCTGCACTTGTTCACACTGTCTCAGATGGCTGCTCAGTTGACTCCGAAACATCTGAAGACTTGGCCTTGGGGTACTGCTTCACGGGGCTGTGGTAGCTCTCACCGTGAGTGTGTTGATCAACACCACCAACCTCGTGCTCTTCGGGAATGCACAGCTTCAGCAGCAGCTTCATGACTCCGACAATGATGGCAGTGCCCACAGCAGAGAAAGCCACACCAGCCAGGGCACCGGCAATCTGCTTGCCCAGCAGCAAGAAGCTACCGCTGTAGATGAGGCCATCTTCCACTGCAAAAATGCCGGTCAAGATGGCACCTGCGATGCCACCCGAACCATGCAAGCCGAACGCATCAAGAGTGTCATCCACCAAGTTGATCTTGTTCATCAGCTCCACAGTAGCGAAACACCAAGGAGCTCCCAAGGCACCAATTGCGATGCTCCAGCCAGGAGTCACGAAGCCGGCTGCAGGTGTGATGCACACCAGGCCTAGCGCATTGTCCCACACAAAAACGGCGAACACTTCTCAAACAGTTCTCACAAGGTGTATGTGCTTTGAAGCAAATAAAGCTACAGAAAGGTACCAGGTGATCATCTCAATCATCTCAAATAGATTCAAAAATATTCAACATATCTTAAAATGTTAAAAAGTTAAAATTATTCAAGTCGAAGGGTAAAGAACCAGCCAAAATTAAGATCTGTGGAAGAACATGCAAGCCGACTCAGATACAACAAGACTTGAGGCCCCCTGCCTGCAACAGCACCAACAGATGCTCCGACACTGGTAGACTTGCCCTTCAAGATGCGCTCCAGGGCCAACCAGGTCAGCATGGATGAGGCTGAAGCCACGAAAGTGGTGGCCACCGCACGGGCTGCAACTCCATCTGTGACGGACAACGCAGAACCGCCGTTGAATCCCAACCAGCCGAACCAAAGGAGGCAGCCGCCCAAGATCACGAAAGGGACGTTGGCAGGGCCCAAATCCTTCTCCACGTGCCTGCGTGGTCCAAGGATGCCACCGGCAACAAGGCCGGACACACCGGAGCTGATGTGAACCACAGTTCCACCGGCGAAGTCCAAAGCTCCCATCTCACCAATCCAGCCGCCAGGGCCCCAAACCCAGTGGCACAAAGGTGCGTAGATCAGAAGGGACCACAGAGCAAGCATGATGCAGTAAGCACTGAAACGCATCTGGAAGGCAGCGAACACCAAAGCTGGGAGGCCGGAGTCACCCCACATCTTCATGTCCAAATCCATCCAAAGGCTGTAGTCGAAGTTGCCAACGAACATGCCGAATCCAGTGGAACCATTGTCTCCAAATGCCCATGAGAAGCCAAAGACAACCCAGGTCAGAGTCACGATTCCCATGGACACCACGCTCATCATCATGGTGTTGATGATGTTTGTGTCGCGCACCAGGCCACCATAGAAGAAGCCAAGCCCCGCAGTCATTAAGAACACGAATGCCGTTGAGGTCAAGACCCAAGCAACTGCGCCTGGGCTCACGGCATCTTCTGTCAGAGCTGGGTTGGCCATTGCTTTTGGCAGGTTGTGGGAAAAAGCTACAACACTGATAACACGGGCACTGCGGCTTGGGGCAAAACTGGCTTCGATGCCAACAAATGCAGCAACTGGCATCATGTAGTGACTAGCTGCAATAGCAGATCGTGCAAGGACTTGAATTCAAACACATGCAAATATCATCAAATATCTTGATCCTGAGTCGGTTCTGTTTTGGAATGAGAGCATAGCTTCACTTGTTGGCGGATCAAAAGCGACATCTTCCTGTTGCAACACTCAAACCGTCACCAGCGCCTGCCAAGACCTTCAAAGTCGTGCAGCTGCGCTTCAGCGCAGCAAAGTCCCACAGAAACCTGTGCCATAACATGCCAAAATATCAGGAAAGAACTTGGCTCTGCAATGCTCTGCATAACCATTCGATAGCATGTTTGGATCATTAGAAAGATTTTCGGATAAACGGAGCTTCAGTCTAACTTGTGACCCCTTGCAACCCACGGCTACGCGCGAAACATTTTTGGCTGGTTCGCCTCAAACTCGACCAAGCTCTAGTTGGCTTGTTGGCTTGTCATGCCGAGTGCAGCTCAGAAGTTGCACAATGGTCTCCAACCCATCTGCATGGTCTCCAACCTTCTTTGGAAAGTCTCAAGACGGACTCACAAGTGCCGATGAACCAAGAACAAGCAAGATAATATCAAGATAATTAACCAAGTTATACCAAGTTCAAGTTGTCTTCCATGCAAATCCCATCAAATAGCTCCTTACTAGTCCTTACTTGTAGAACCTGCGTCTCAAGACAGTGGCTAAGTGCCTCATGCTGAAAGCTTCTGGCATGCCAAGTGACTGTCCAAGAAGCTCCCAATCTATGCGTAAACATGCAAGTAAAATTGTCCATCCTCGTGGACTGATTGAATTTCGCCAGGCTTTGCCTGGCTCTTGTCGTAGTTTATCGTGTCTGTGTCGTAGGTGAGAACTCATTAATCATTGGCTCTATGTTAGCTCCATATGAGCTCTATATATGCTCTCTGCACTTGTTCACACTGTCTCAGATGGCTGCTCAGTGGACTCCGAAACATCTGAAGACTTGGCCTTCGGGTACTGCTTCACGGGGCTGTGGTAGCTCTCACCGTGAGTGTGTTGATCAACACCACCAACCTCGTGCTCTTCGGGAATGCGCAGCTTCAGCAGCAGCTTCATGACTCCGACAATGATGGCAGTGCCCACAGCAGAGAAAGCCACACCAGCCAGGGCACCGGCAATCTGCTTGCCCAGCAGCAAGAAGCTACCGCTGTAGATGAGGCCATCTTCCACTGCAAAAATGCCGGTCAAGATGGCACCTGCGATGCCACCCGAACCATGCAAGCCGAACGCATCAAGAGTGTCATCCACCAAGTTGATCTTGTTCATCAGCTCCACAGTAGCGAAACACCAAGGAGCTCCCAAGGCACCAATTGCGATGCTCCAGCCAGGAGTCACGAAGCCGGCTGCAGGTGTGATGCACACCAGGCCTAGCGCATTGTCCCACACAAAAACGGCGAACACTTCTCAAACAGTTCTCACAAGGTGCATGTGCTTTGAAGCAAATAAAGCTACAGAAAGGTACCAGGTGATCATCTCAATCATCTCAAATAGATTCAAAAATATTCAACATATCTTAAAATGTTAAAAAGTTAAAATTATTCAAGTCGAAGGGTAAAGAACCAGCCAAAATTAAGATCTGTGGAAGAACATGCAAGCCGACTCAGATACAACAAGACTTGAGGCCCCCTGCCTGCAACAGCACCAACAGATGCTCCAACACTGGTAGACTTGCCCTTCAAGATGCGCTCCAGGGCCAACCAGGTCAGCATGGATGAGGCTGACGCCACGAAAGTTGTGGCCACTGCACGGGCTGCCACTCCATCTGTGACAGACAGAGCAGAACCGCCGTTGAATCCCAACCAGCCGAACCAAAGGAGGCAGCCGCCCAAGATCACGAAAGGGACGTTGGCAGGGCCCAAATCCTTCTCCACGTGCCTGCGTGGTCCAAGGATGCCACCGGCAACAAGGCCGGACACACCGGAGCTGATGTGAACCACAGTTCCACCGGCGAAGTCCAAAGCTCCCATCTCACCAATCCAGCCGCCAGGGCCCCAAACCCAGTGGCACAAAGGTGCGTAGATCAGAAGGGACCACAGAGCAAGCATGATGCAGTAAGCACTGAAACGCATGCGCTCCACCAACGAGCCGGAAATGATTGCAGAAGAAATGATGGCAAAGGTCATCTGGAAGGCAGCGAACACCAAAGCTGGGAGGCCGGAGTCACCCCACATCTTCATGTCCAAATCCATCCAAAGGCTGTAGTCGAAGTTGCCAACGAACATGCCGAATCCAGTGGAACCATTGTCTCCAAATGCCCATGAGAAGCCAAAGACAACCCAGGTCAGAGTCACGATTCCCATGGACACCACGCTCATCATCATGGTGTTGATGATGTTTGTGTCGCGCACCAGGCCACCATAGAAGAAGCCAAGCCCCGCAGTCATTAAGAACACGAATGCCGTTGAGGTCAAGACCCAAGCAACTGCGCCTGGGCTCACGGCATCTTCTGTCAGAGCTGGGTTGGCCATTGCTTTTGGCAGGTTGTGGGAAAAAGCTACAACACTGATAACACGGGCACTGCGGCTTGGAGCAAAACTGGCTTCGATGCCAACAAATGCAGCGACTGGCATCATGTAGTGACTAGCTGCAATAGCAGATCGTGCAAGGACTTGAATTCAAACACATGCAAATATCATCAAATATCTTGATCCTGAGTCGGTTCTGTTTTGGAATGAGAGCATAGCTTCACTTGTTGGTGGATCAAAAGCGACATCTTCCTGTTGCAACACTCAACTGTCACCAGCGCCTGCCAAGACCTTCAAAGTCGTGCAGCTGCGTATCAGCGCAGCAAAGTCCCACAGAAACCTGTGCCATAACATGCCAAAATATCAGGAAAGAACTTGGCTCTGCAATGCTCTGCATAACCATTCGATAGCATGTTTGGATCATTAGAAAGATTTTCGGATAAACGGAGCTTCAGTCTAACTTGTGACCCCTTGCAACCCACGGCTACGCGCGAAACATTTTTGGCTGGTTCGCCTCAAACTCGACCAAGCTCTAGTTGGCTTGTTGGCTTGTCATGCCGAGTGCAGCTCAGAAGTTGCACAATGGTCTCCAACCCATCTGCATGGTCTCCAACCTTCTTTGGAAAGTCTCAAGACGGACTCACAAGTGCCGATGAACCAAGAACAAGCAAGATAATATCAAGATAATTAACCAAGTTATACCAAGTTCAAGTTGTCTTCCATGCAAATCCCATCAAATAGCTCCTTACTAGTCCTTACTTGTAGAACCTGCGTCTCAAGACAGTGGCTAAGTGCCTCATGCTGAAAGCTTATGAAAGCTTCTGGCATGCCAAGTGACTGTCCAAGAAGCTCCCAATCTATGCGTAAACATGCAAGTAAAATTGTCCATCCTCGTGGACTGATTGAATTTCGCCAGGCTTTGCCTGGCTCTTGTCGTAGTTTATCGTGTCTGTGTCGTAGGTGAGAACTCATTAATCATTGGCTCTATGTTAGCTCCATATGAGCTCTAACTCTATATATTATGCTCTCTGCACTTGTTCACACTGTCTCAGATGGCTGCTCAGTGGACTCCGAAACATCTGAAGACTTGGCCTTGGGGTACTGCTTCACGGGGCTGTGGTAGCTCTCACCGTGAGTGTGTTGATCAACACCACCAACCTCGTGCTCTTCGGGAATGCGCAGCTTCAGCAGCAGCTTCATGACTCCGACAATGATGGCAGTGCCCACAGCAGAGAAAGCCACACCAGCCAGGGCACCGGCAATCTGCTTGCCCAGCAGCAAGAAGCTACCGCTGTAGATGAGGCCATCTTCCACTGCAAAAATGCCGGTCAAGATGGCACCTGCGATGCCACCCGAACCATGCAAGCCGAACGCATCAAGAGTGTCATCCACCAAGTTGATCTTGTTCATCAGCTCCACAGTGGCAAAGCACCAAGGAGCTCCCAAGGCACCAATTGCGATGCTCCAGCCAGGAGTCACAAAGCCGGCTGCAGGTGTGATGCACACCAGGCCTAGCGCATTGTCCCACACAAAAACGGCGAACACTTCATAAACAGTTCTCACAAGGTGTATGTGCTTTGAAGCAAATAAAAGCTACAGAAAGGTACCAGGTGATCATCTCAATCATCTCAAATAGATTCAAAAATATTCAACATATCTTAAATGTTAAAAAGTTAAAATTATTCAAGTCGAAGGTAAAAGAACCAGCCAAAACCAAGATCTGTGCAAGAACATGCAAGCCGACTCCGATTTAACATGACTTGAGGCCCCCTGCCTGCAACAGCACCAACAGATGCTCCGACACTGGTAGACTTGCCCTTCAAGATGCGCTCCAGGGCCAACCAGGTCAGCATGGATGAGGCTGAAGCCACGAAAGTGGTGGCCACCGCACGGGCTGCAACTCCATCTGTGACGGACAGAGCAGAACCGCCGTTGAATCCCAACCAGCCGAACCAAAGGAGGCAACCACCCAAGATCACGAAAGGGACGTTGGCAGGGCCCAAATCCTTCTCCACGTGCCTGCGTGGTCCAAGGATGCCACCGGCAACAAGGCCGGACACACCGGAGCTGATGTGAACCACAGTTCCACCGGCGAAGTCCAAAGCTCCCATCTCACCAATCCAGCCGCCAGGGCCCCAAACCCAGTGGCACAAAGGTGCGTAGATCAGAAGGGACCACAGAGCGAGCATGATGCAGTAAGCACTGAAACGCATGCGCTCCACCAACGAGCCGGAAATGATTGCAGAAGAAATGATGGCAAAGGTCATCTGGAAGGCAGCGAACACCAAAGCTGGGAGGCCGGAGTCACCCCACATCTTCATGTCCAAATCCATCCAAAGGCTGTAGTCGAAGTTGCCAACGAACATGCCGAATCCAGTGGAACCATTGTCTCCAAATGCCCATGAGAAGCCAAAGACAACCCAGGTCAGAGTCACGATTCCCATGGACACCACGCTCATCATCATGGTGTTGATGATGTTTGTGTCGCGCACCAGGCCACCATAGAAGAAGCCAAGCCCCGCAGTCATTAAGAACACGAATGCCGTTGAGGTCAAGACCCAAGCAACTGCGCCTGGGCTCACGGCATCTTCTGTCAGAGCTGGGTTGGCCATTGCTTTTGGCAGGTTGTGGGAAAAAGCTACAACACTGATAACACGGGCACTGCGGCTTGGGGCAAAACTGGCTTCGATGCCAACAAATGCAGCAACTGGCATCATGTAGTGACTAGCTGCAATAGCAGATCGTGCAAGGACTTGAATTCAAACACATGCAAATATCATCAAATATCTTGATCCTGAGTCGGTTCTGTTTTGGAATGAGAGCATAGCTTCACTTGTTGGCGGATCAAAAGCGACATCTTCCTGTTGCAACACTCAAACCGTCACCAGCGCCTGCCAAGACCTTCAAAGTCGTGCAGCTGCGCTTCAGCGCAGCAAAGTCCCACAGAAACCTGTGCCATAACATGCCAAAATATCAGGAAAGAACTTGGCTCTGCAATGCTCTGCATAACCATTCGATAGCATGTTTGGATCATTAGAAAGATTTTCGGATAAACGGAGCTTCAGTCTAACTTGTGACCCCTTGCAACCCACGGCTACGCGCGAAACATTTTTGGCTGGTTCGCCTCAAACTCGACCAAGCTCTAGTTGGCTTGTTGGCTTGTGGTGCCCAATGGTCTCCAACCCATCTGCATGGTCTCCAACCTTCTTTGGAAAGTCTCAAGACGGACTCACAAGTGCCGATGAACCAAGAACAAGCAAGATAATATCAAGATAATTAACCAAGTTATACCAAGTTCAAGTTGTCTTCCATGCAAATCCCATCAAATAGCTCCTTACTAGTCCTTACTTGTAGAACCTGCGTCTCAAGACAGTGGCTAAGTGCCTCATGCTGAAAGCTTATGAAAGCTTCTGGCATGCCAAGTGACTGTCCAAGAAGCTCCCAATCTATGCGTAAACATGCAAGTAAAATTGTCCATCCTCGTGGACTGATTGAATTTCGCCAGGCTTTGCCTGGCTCTTGTCGTAGTTTATCGTGTCTGTGTCGTAGGTGAGAACTCATTAATCATTGGCTCTATGTTAGCTCCATATGAGCTCTAACTCTATATATTATGCTCTCTGCACTTGTTCACACTGTCTCAGATGGCTGCTCAGTGGACTCCGAAACATCTGAAGACTTGGCCTTGGGGTACTGCTTCACGGGGCTGTGGTAGCTCTCACCGTGAGTGTGTTGATCAACACCACCAACCTCGTGCTCTTCGGGAATGCGCAGCTTCAGCAGCAGCTTCATGACTCCGACAATGATGGCAGTGCCCACAGCAGAGAAAGCCACACCAGCCAGGGCACCGGCAATCTGCTTGCCCAGCAGCAAGAAGCTACCGCTGTAGATGAGGCCATCTTCCACTGCAAAAATGCCGGTCAAGATGGCACCTGCGATGCCACCCGAACCATGCAAGCCGAACGCATCAAGAGTGTCATCCACCAAGTTGATCTTGTTCATCAGCTCCACAGTAGCGAAACACCAAGGAGCTCCCAAGGCACCAATTGCGATGCTCCAGCCAGGAGTCACAAAGCCGGCTGCAGGTGTGATGCACACCAGGCCTAGCGCATTGTCCCACACAAAAACGGCGAACACTTCTCAAACAGTTCTCACAAGGTGTATGTGCTTTGAAGCAAATAAAGCTACAGAAAGGTACCAGGTGATCATCTCAATCATCTCAAATAGGTTCAAAAATATTCAACATATCTTAAAATGTTAAAAAGTTAAAATTATTCAAGTCGGAGGGTAAAGAACCAGCCAAAATTAAGATCTGTGGAAGAACATGCAAGCCGACTCAGATACAACAAGACTTAAGGCCCCCTGCCTGCAACAGCACCAACAGATGCTCCGACACTGGTAGACTTGCCCTTCAAGATGCGCTCCAGGGCCAACCATGTCAGCATGGATGAGGCCGAAGCCACGAAAGTGGTGGCCACTGCACGGGCTGCAACTCCGTCTGTCACGGACAACGCAGAACCGCCATTGAATCCCAACCAGCCGAACCAAAGGAGGCAACCGCCCAAGATCACGAAAGGGACGTTGGCAGGGCCCAAATCCTTCTCCACGTGCCTGCGTGGTCCAAGGATGCCACCGGCAACAAGGCCGGACACACCGGAGCTGATGTGAACCACAGTTCCACCCGCAAAGTCCAGAGCTCCCATCTCACCAATCCAGCCGCCAGGGCCCCAAACCCAGTGGCACAAAGGTGCGTAGATCAGAAGGGACCACAGAGCAAGCATGATGCAGTAGGCACTGAAACGCATGCGCTCCACCAACGAGCCGGAAATGATTGCAGAAGAAATGATGGCAAAGGTCATCTGGAAGGCAGCGAACACCAAAGCTGGGAGGCCGGAGTCACCCCACATCTTCATGTCCAAATCCATCCAAAGGCTGTAGTCGAAGTTGCCAACGAACATGCCGAATCCAGTGGAACCATTGTCTCCAAATGCCCATGAGAAGCCAAAGACAACCCAGGTCAGAGTCACGATTCCCATGGACACCACGCTCATCATCATGGTGTTGATGATGTTTGTGTCGCGCACCAGGCCACCATAGAAGAAGCCAAGCCCCGCAGTCATTAAGAACACGAATGCCGTTGAGGTCAAGACCCAAGCAACCGCACCTGGGCTCACAGCATCTTCTGTCAGAGCTGGGTTGGCCATTGCTTTTGGCAGGTTGTGGGAAGAAGCTACAACACCAGTGTGCCCACGAACCGACACGAATCGACAAACACGAACCGGAACGAACCGCGGGGTCATTGAACCGGTAAATGAAAACGAACCGCAGGAACCGAACCGAAATTTTGTGGGAACCGAACCGAAAATCATAGTTATATTTGAATTTGATATGTAAAATTGTGTGAGAATAACTATCTGTCTATACATTTTCTAATTCCTTCCTTTCCTTCTTTCCCGGGGTTACGGATAACTAGCACTGCCGAACAGCTTTGGCCTCGAAATATCTCTATTTTAATGGAAAGATTGAGCAAATACTGTAATTCCCAATACCCATGTAGTATACTCAACAGTACGATCCCGCAACCCCCCTGGAGACACTTTTGGGAGCAAACATTGCTTTCGGGGGGTTGCGGGAAATGAGTACAGCTGACCAGCCTTGGCCTCAAATTCTCTGTTGCAATGGAAAGATTGAGCAAATACTGAATTCTCTTTACTTATGTAGTATACTCAACAGTACGATCCCGCAACCCCCCTAGAGACACATTTGGGAGCAAACATTGCTTTCCGGGGGTTGCGGGAAATGAGTACAGCTGACCAGCCTTGGCCTCAAATTTCTCTGTTGCAATGGAAAGATTGAGTAAATACTGAATTCTCTTTACCTATGTAGTATACTCAACAGTCCGATCCCGCAACCCCCTAGAGACACTTTTGGGCGCAAACATTGCTTCCGGGGGTTGCGGAAAATGAGTACAGCCGAAGCTTTTGGCCTCGAATTTCTGTTGTAATGGAAAGATTGAGCAAATACTGTAATCCCCAACCCATGTAGTATACTCAACAGTACGATCCCGCAACCCCCTGGAGACTTTTGGGCGCAAACATTGCTTTCCGGAGGTTGGGAAATGAGTACAGCTGACCAGCCTTGGGCCTCGAAAATCTCTGCTGCAATGGAAAGATTGAGCAAACTGAATTCTCTTTACTTATGTAGTATACTCAACAGTACGATCCCGCAACCCCCTAGAGACACTTTTTGGGGCAAACATTGCTTCCGGGGGTTTGCGGAAATGAGAGTACAGCTGACCAGCCCTTGCCTCAAATTTCTCTGTTGCAATGGAAAGATGAGCAAATACTGAATTCTTTACCCTGTAGTACTCAACAGTCCGATCCCGCAACCCCCCTAGAGACACTTTTGGGGCACACATTGCTTTCCGGGGGTTGCGGAAAATGAGTAGCCGAACAGCTTTGGCCGAATTTCTCTGTTGTAATGGAAAGATTGAGCAAATACTGTAATCCCCAATACCATGTAGTATACTCAACAGTACGATCCCGCACCCCCCTGGAGACACTTTTGGGCAAACATTGCTTTCCGGGGTTGCGGAAATGAGTAGCTGACCAGCTTGGGCCTCGAAAATCTGCTGCAATGGAAAGATTGAGCAATACTGAATTCTTTACTTTGTAGTATACTCAACAGTACGATCCCGCACCCCCCCTAGACACTTTTGGGGGCAAACATTGCTTTCCGGGGGTTGTTGAAAACGTTTGCTCCCAAAAGTGTCTCTAGGGGGGTTGCGGGATCGTACGGTTGAGTATACAGTATACTACACGGGTTTTGGGGATTACAGTATTTGCCAATCTTTCCATTACAACAGAGAATTTCGAGGCCAGGTTGACTCATGCTACGGGGTTTGTAGTGTCTCTTTCCATTACGTTTTGGGTGTTCGGTACAATCTTTCCATTCCCGGCGAGGCCAATGGCTTTCTTTTCAATTTTGAATGCTGCTTTCGTTACACCCTTTATAAAAAGCAATAACGCAGCAATAACGCAGTTGAATCCATGTCTCTTCGCACGGAACCGAACCGATTCGATCCTGCTGATAACACGGGGCAGCAAAACTGGTTTCGATGCCAACAAATGCAGCAACTGGCATCATGTAGTGACTAGCTGCAATAGCAGATAGTGCAAGGACTTGAATTCAAACACATGCAAATATCAAATATTGCAAGTATCTTGATCCTGAGTCAGTCCTTTTTTGGAATGAGCGCATAGCTTCAGTTGTTGGCGGATCAAAAGCGACATCTTCCTGTTGCAACACTCAAACCGTCACCAGCGCCTGCCAAGACCTTCAACGTCGTGCAGCCGCGCATCAGCGCAGCGAAGTTCCACAGAAACCTGTGCCATAACATGCCAGAACCGTCATAATTTGCCCATTCGATGGCATGTTATGGCACAGGTTTCGATGGATTTCGATGGCATGTTTGGATCCGTTGGAAAGATTTTCGGATAAACGGAGCTTGTAACCCACGGCTACGTGCGAAACATTTTTGGCTGGTTCGCCTCAAACTCGACCAAGCTCTAGTTGGCTTGTTGGCTTGTCATGCCGAGTGCAGCTCAGAAGTTGC